GGCATTACTGATCATGCTGAATATTACTGATTACTTGAAATGCATTTTTTGTTCCCCCACCCTGCCTATGGGTATTAAGTAAACAAACTAAGCAACTGCGAAGTGTATTGTTATGATGATCAATGGTGCCTCTTTCAAAATTGTGAATGCCATAGCATCTGGATTAAAACATGAATCAAATTCAATCACTGGAAAGTTGTTGCATAATGCTCAGGTGACCTATAAGGCCCATGGGCCTCTTGTTCAATTGAGGTAGGTGGTTCAAGATTGATGTACCTCAGTGAATTAAAAGACTGGTTCAAAATAATATTGCTGGTAAATATTGCACCACAATTAGAATTCCATAGGTTTTCATTTCTGTTTAATGTTGCTCTCTCCCTTCATAAAACACCAAATATTCCAGTTAATGTATACTCTTTGGGATGAACTTTTGAAGCTCACAATATTTCAATAGTCTGATAAATAGTGGATATGTGTGGCTGATAACTGTTCAGCTTTTTGTTTCTTTCAATTTAACCATTCTTAAACATAACATGAATAAGAGAAGACAAAGTCCGTTTCATTATGATAAATTAATTTATAGCATCTCATTTAGATAAATCATAACAAAAACTGGTAACATTTAAGAAATAAATAGAAACACTTAAATAGAAATACAAACATTAAAAAATAATCTTTTCTCTTAAGTCATTCTGCTTAAGCACAAGTTAGTCAGTGTTCTAAGCACAATATATTCAAGACTCTAATCTTTTCTTTAAATTCATTCTCCTAAAGCTCAATTTGGAATGTTCTAAGCACAATAGATACAGGACTCCAATCTGTTCTTGAAAGTCATTCTGCTCAAGCCCAAGTTGGAATGTCCTAAGCACAATAGATACACAATCTTTTCTTTAAAGTCATTCTGCTACAGCTCAAGTTGGAATGTTCTAAGCACAATAGATACAGGTTTCCACACTGTCTTTCTCCTTGATGCCAAGGCAGGCATGGTGGCACCATCTTAAGCAGGAACTACACTGAATCTGTTTCCTGTAGCTAGCTGCACAGAAGGGAAGGTCGCATGCAAGGCTCCTTTTGTCAGCTTTCCCATTAGTGAGCAGCTCCCCACGCACATAAGCACAATAATTTCAATAATTTAAAATAAGATAGATTCAAAATTTAGTATTTTTATTAAAATAAGAAAAATTGTATGTCATAAAAGTTTCATGGTTTTATCTTAAAACTCAGAAGTGGAAAAAATAATGCTATTAAAAAACATCAATCAAAAACCTTTTTTTTTTAAAATATATATACAAGAGAAGAAACTAGTTAATAAAAGTTTAGAATTTATAATTTCTATTGCTGTTCAATTACAATTTCGGAGCATAAAAATTACATTTCTTTAGATTGGAAGTTTTAGAAAATCTTTAAGGATTTATAGCTTTTGTTATTTTCTTTTTTTTCAGAAAAAGTTGCATTAACTATAATTTAAAAACTCTGAAACTTTTTTATTTAATGGTCATATTGCCACTACAAAAATTTTAACTGGAATACATGCACTATATGATGATATAGAATTAGTGAAAAATATGTTATGGGTAGTTGAAAATTTCCAAAAAAAAAAAAAAAAAAAAAATTTAATAGTCAATATTCTTTTAATTCACCCACATACAATAAATTGCTAAAAAAAGATAATAGAATTCCTATTTCTAAATACATACCTGTGTGTTGACTGGCCATTCTCGTCTGTCAGGTGGACTGCCGAGGAAGTTCACCAGCTCTGTATACTCGGAGACCTCCATCTCTTCTTGAGGATGACGTTGTAATGATTACTATTGCTTTAATTAACTCTATTTAAACACCTGAATGTTGTATGTAAGCTAACCACCCCTCAATCTGGGCTACCCTATCAGTGCACTCTCAAAACACTGTATTGCATAATATAGAAACCACAAAGGGGAAGCAACAAGACAGTGGGGATTGTTGACCTCCTATGTTGACCTCCTATGACACCTCCCTGTGTACACACAATACACAGGTGCTATACCCCCGTTACCTCCTCAATAGAGATACCTTTCTTATTCAATAGCATTGTTCCTTAAAATTTACTTTGTCAAATTGTTAATTACATGTATATACAATTTTTAAAAAATGAATAAATACCTTATGAGATTCAATGAAAGACACAGAAATGTATTTTCTATCAGACATCATGATACATGTGTATAATTATAGTTATTTGATGTAGAATATTGTGGGTTTAATAGTAAAAAAAAAAAAAAAATATTTCCTTTGTAACAATTGTACACTTCAATATTATGATTATACTATCCTACCCTCAATTCTTTAAGAATTGCATGTATGTGAAAAAAAAAGAAGTTTTTTTTATAAAGATACCCTACTCTCAAGTAGTGTAAGTGGGAGAAGGATTTTAGATTATTTGCAGGCATATTATATCATCACCCCCTTTTCAAAACAGTTCAATAGGGTGACTGAATAATTTATAGCCATAATATTTTGAGCCCCCATCCCTGTAAAATTAATGGATGGGGGACTCATTATTTTATGGCCATAATATTTGGAACCCCCCTCCCTGTAAAATTAAATGGGCAGGGGGGTTCAATATTTTATGGCCATAATATTTTGAACCCCCTCCCTTTTAAATTTAAAGGGCAGGAGGGTTCAATATTTTATGGCCATAATATTTTGAACCCCCTCCCTCTTAAATTTAAAGGGCAGGGGGGTTCAATATTTTATGGCCATAATATTTGGAACCCCCTCCCTGTAAAATTGAAGAGGGAGGGGGACTCGATATTTTATGGCCATAATATTTGGAACCCCATCCCTCTTAAAATAAAAGGACAGAGGGGTTCAATATTTTATGGCCATAATATTTTGAACCCCTTCCCTCTTAAATTTAAAGGACAGGGGGGTTCAATATTTTATGGCCATAATATTTTGAACCCCCTCTCTATTAAATTTAAAGGGCAGGGGGACGCGATATTTTATAGCCATAATATTTTGAACCCCCCTCCCTGTAAAATTAAATGGGCAGGGGGACTCAATATTTTATGGCCATAATATTTTGAACCCCCTCCCTCTTAAATTTAAAGGGCAGGGGGGTTCAACATTTTATGGCCATAATATTTTGAACCCCCTCCCTCTTAAATTTAAAGGGCAGGGTGGTTCAATATTTTATGGCCATAATATTTTGAACCCCCCTCCCTGTAAAATTAAATGGGCAGGGGGACTCAATATTTTGTGGCCATAATATTTTGAACCCCCTAGCTCCCTCTTAAATTTAAAGGGCAGGGGGACTCGATATTTTATGGCCATAATATTTTGAACCCCCTCCCTGTAAAATTGAAGAGGGAGGGGGACTCGATATTTTATGGCCATAATATTTTGAACCCCCTCCCTGTAAAATTAAATGGGCAGGGGGACTCGATATTTTATGGCCATAATATTTTGAACCCCCTCCCTGTAAAATTTAAAAGGGAGGGGGACTCGATATTTTATGGCCATAATATTTTGAACCCCCTCCCTGTAAAATTAAATGGGCAGAGGGACTCGATATTTTATGGCCATAATATTTTGAACCCCCTCCCTCTTAAATTAAATGGGCAGGGGGACTCAATATTTTATGGCCATAATATTTTGAACCCCCTCCCTGTAAAATTAAATGGGCAGGGGGACTCGATATTTTATGGCCATAATATTTTGAACCCCCTCCCACTTAAATTAAATGGGCAGGGGGACTCAATATTTTATGGCCATAATATTTTGAACCCCCTCCCTGTAAAATTAAAAGGGCAGGGGAATCAATATTTTATGGCCATAATATTTTGAACCCCCTTCCTCTTAAATTAAAAGGACAGGGGGACTCAATATTTTATGGCCATAATATTTTGAACCCCGGGTTCAATATTTTATAGGGGGGTTCAATATTTCGCAGCGATATTTTGAACCCGGGTTCAAAATATCGTGGGGTTCAATATATTATATGACACCGGGTCCATGAAAAAATGACAAAAACCCTAATAATCGACATTTAATTTTATAATGATTGAATAATTTAACTATTTCAAATAAATAAACGACCATTAAATGCAAATACACCAACACTTTCGATGCATTAAGCTTAAAATCGCCAAAATGAGTAAACCGGGCTCGCTACCCATTTTAGTCACCTGGAAAAGGACAATCGGCAATAATCATCGAAAAACACAACATTTTGACTTAAAATTCTCAGCGAAGGCAAAACCTATAGTTATAAACTATGTCCGTAAATTTCATGGAGAAAGAATGAGTATTTATTTCGTGATTATCAAAAACCCGGTTTTCGTTATCGAAAATCCCGGCCCGGCCCGGGTTTCGCTACCCATTTTAGTCACACTCCAAATTAAGGCAAAGTTGAAAACGTTCAACATGTTCAAAATGTAAATTGTAACCAGGGACCTATGGACCCTTTTTCCTCTGAAATATTTTGCCAAGGAGTTATTCCCCCTAGCAGCCATATTTTAGGGCAACAATCCCAGATCCCTTCATTATTCAATCTCAGCAAGATTCTTAGGGACTAAAATTTTGGTCTGATGTCTGCGAATCTCAGTCCAGTCCCATACAATGTGACTCTGGGTTTTTTGTCCCGACTTCGTTTCAATCAATATGGGCTGAAATGAATTAGCTACCTGCTTCAACTTTTCCCTTGGACATCCTTTTAAGTCTAAATCACTATAAAACATTCGTTTCTTACCTTTAAAAGGTTCAAATCCAGCAAAATGTACAGTTGTTTATTTAAGGCTGTTTGCTAATCATTTAAACCTCCGATTTTTACAATAGTCTGTTTCGAATAATTTTTTCTACAACTATTTCCTATAGCATCGGTAAAAAACGAGTGTTCTATATCTGAATGCATTCCTTTCTACATTGAAAACAAAGAAAGACAAATTATAAATAAAAAATGAAAACATGCAGAGCATGATTCACAACAATTGAGTGTCATAATATTTTATATACATTTACAGACACATCCTTTTGGATTAAGTTTTTCACGGAGTGCGGTATACCAGCTGGGGAGGCCACTAACTATGCCATCATCTTCACTGACAACAGGATTCAGAAAGACATGTTGATAGACCTCACTAAGGAGTACCTCAAAGATATGGGAATCACGGTACTGGGCGACGTCATTGGCATCCTAAAACATGCAAAGGAAGTCCATTCGCAGGTAAAGAAATAACTCTTTCAGCTCATTGTTTTGCTTTAAATTTTTAGTGTTGCTGATACAATACAGTTTATTGTGTCTAAAGACAGAAGTGCACAAATTAATGAATTTAAACTCACTAGACTGATGCTTTTGTTGTACCACAGAATTTCATATAATTTAAATCAGAATTAAATAGGTTTCAATTTATATATGTACTTATAGAAGTTTTTTTCACCACTAGAATGCACGTGACAAGGTACTAAAGGGAACTGGAGTAGGGAGAACTTCTTCACCCATTCCTAAACGCTCAACAGGTAAATTTTCGGAATTTTTACTGTCATATTGTAAATTTCTAACTATTGAGTACATCATTTAAAGTACTGTTAAGCAATAATCTCCTTTTATCTTCGAGTTTTATATTTACAGACATTATATGATGTATTGAATTTAATCATTTAATTTCAAGTACAATCTTGACATTATTGATGTACATTTAGCTTAATTTAACTAAATTATGAATAAAATTGAAAGATTCACATTTGTGAATGTTTAAAATCTGTGACTTTAGCTGCAAGTAGAACAGTGAACCACTATCTTGGTAAAGACCCAGATGCTGCTCCAATGAGTCAACCAATAGTACCAAAGCTGTCCAAGGAGCTGTCCGCCAGACTAGGTGAAGTACCCGAATCAGGTAATTATCTTTATATGTCAAAGACTAATATATAAAACCATAACGCTCCAGTTCTGCAGCTAAGTAAAACAATTGAAACAAAATCCTGTGAAATTCAAATCATATTTAAGCTCTGTACATAAATTATGGAACAGAGCTAGTCAGAAGACACAAATTTGATTAATTACAATGCTAAATCTGTGTGTGTCATTATGCATAGATATCTTAGAAATGTCACTGGTAATAAACTAATAATTATGAAAACTGTACATACATTTTCTTTGCTTTATTTGTTCACTACTGCTTCTGTCAAAGTATAGTAATGTTAATATTATGACTGTTGGTTGAAATGCTAGATTTTTGTCTTCTCTATTTTAGAATCTCCCAAACCCAGCAATAATGTTGTAAAATTAAATAAACGTCTAGAAGAAGAAGTTCCCGTCCCCAAGTCTCGACGTGTTTTACCTGAACACGAGGGCAGGTATAAAATTACCATGCCAGCTGGAACTACAGCAAAAACTCAGAAAATTTTACAACAGGGTATCCCCACAGGTACAAATATCATTACAAAAACTGGTCGCTATACATGCATTAAAGGTAATCAGTTGGGTCACTAGTGTGTTAAAACAGTGTTTATTGGAATGGGTTTGTTAGAAGCCTCTCATGTAGAAGTGGATACAGAACCCCAAAAGGCATGAAAGGTGTGAGGGTAAATTGAAGCTTGAAAAATCAATATCATACATCATAACATTTATTTTTGGTTCATCAAATTGTAGTTAAATTTTGTGGTAGCCAAATACTTTAAAAAGGAAAATTACAAAGATTTTCTGGTAGGTTTATCAAAAAATGAATTTAAAACAGTAGATATTAGAATGTTATATTTGAATGATTAAATATTGAAATTTTGGAGCCACAGTAATCATCTATATATATATTGTAGCTTATCTTTTTTAGCTCACCTGAGCCGAAGGCTCAAGTGAGCTTTTCTGATCACATTTTGTCCGGTGTCTGTAAACTTTTCACATTTTCGACTTCTTCTCAAGAACCGCTGGGCCAATTTCAACCAAACTTGCCACAAAGTATCCTTGGGTGAAGGGGATTCAAGTTTGTTCAAATGAAGGCCACGCCCTCATTCAAGGGGAGATAATTGGGAATTAATGAAAATTTGGTGGCATATTTTAAAAATCTTCTTCTCAAGAACCACTGTGCCAGGAAAGATGAAACTTATGGGGAAATATCCTCAGGTAGTGTAGATTCAAGTTTGTTCAAATCATGACCCCCGTGGGTAGGGCGGGGCCAAAATGGCCGACCAAAGTTTTACATAGAAATATATAGGAAAATTCTTTAAACATCTTTTTCTCAAGAATGACAAAGCCATAATTCATCATATTTATATGGAAGCATGCTCAGGTAGTGTAGATTCAAATTTGTTCAAATCATGACCCCCGTGGGTAGGGCGGGGCCAAAATGGCCGACCAAAGTTTTACATAGAAATATATAGGAAAATTCTTTAAACATCTTCTTCTCAAGAATGACAAAGCCATAATTCATCATATTTATATGGAAGTATGCTCAGGTAGTGTAGATTCAAGTTTGTTCAAATCATGACCCCCGGGGGAAAGGCGGGGCCAAAATGGCCGACCAAAGTTTCACATAGAAATATATAGGAAAATTCTTTAAACATCTTCTTCTCAAGAATGACAAAGCCATAATTCATCATATTTATATTGAAGCATGCTCAGGTAGTGTAGATTCAAGTTTGTTCAAATCATGACCCCCCCCCCGGGTAGGGCGGGGCCAAAATGGCCGACCAAAGTTTTACATAGAAATATATAGGAAAATTCTTTAAACATCTTCTTCTCAAGAATGACAAATCCATAATTCATCATATTTATATGGAAGCATGCTCAAGTAGTGTAGATTCAAATTTGTTCAAATCATGACCCCCAGGGGTTGGGCGGGGCCAAAATGGCCGATCAAAGTTTTTAAAGATATATCTAGGAAAATTCTTTAAAAATCATTTTCTAAAAAATAGCAAATTCATGATTGGTCATGGGACTACTTTTGGATTTAAACTTTACAATAAAAAGCCATTTTCTACTTTTTCCTACCCTTAGTGCTCAGGTGAGCGATGTGGCCCATGGGCCTCTTGTTTTTAAATATAATTCAAAAATAGCAAAAAGGGTTATTAATTTTGGGTCAGATTAAAAAATGAGCACGATTAATATAAGTAAAACACAATGTTAATCTGAAGAGTTTTGATTCTTACAGGAAGAAGAAATCCTAATGTTTTTGACAGACTTGGAGAAGAATCTCCCAAATCTGCTGGTGCTGCTAAATCATCCACAGTGATCATAGTATGTGTATAATAAATGCAATGTGTTACAGTCAGAAATAACAATCAGTTGTATCTTTCTTGATAAACATGATGTGCTGACATGTAAAAATTTTTTATAAGGACAATACTGCATGTACAAAATCATGAACATATGGAAAATGTTTCCTTTATAGATCATCATTATGACATTAATGATGTAATAAATTTTAATTCCTTTTATGATATCTAAATTTAAAAATGACTCTCCCTTTTATAATATCTAAATTTAAAAATGACTCATTTGTGTGAATTTTTATGTAAATATTGGACATTTTATGCAATAACTAAGATTTGAATAACAATTTTAGAAAATAATATTGATGGAAAACTAGTTTAAAATGCTGTTTTTCTTTTTACTTTAAAAATAGTCCTCTGTATTCAATCGACTTGGTGGAAAGTCAGCAGTGAAACGTCCGGCAACATCAACATCAGCCGAGTTAGACTCGGATCCTGATGAACCTCCCCTGGAGTACGCGGGGATCCTCAAGGCCACTCCATCACCGACCAAAAAGACCAAGGTCACTATCACAAACAATAAGAAGTACGCTTCACTGGGCAAGATTACTATCTCCAATAAGACTGTGACAAATGCAGCTGGAAAAACTGTACAAAAGACGGTCACAACCAAAAAACTGCTACTGACTAAAAAGCCAGGTAGGTCATTTTATCATTTACAATTCATAATATGTAGGGGCCATAACTTGTGCAAGTTACTGTTTTTTCTTCAACTGGAGTTCCTTGACTGTTAAATTGTCAATGGATATGAGGCTTAAACTAATGAACTCCAGTTGGGAAAAAAACCTATTAACTACACATACATTATCAAACCTTTTTCTTACTCTACTAGAATTTTTACTAACTATCTGAACATTATTACTGCACAAAACATAATTACTACATATCACAATGTGCCATTATAATAAGCATTCTCAAACGTTTAAAAGAATAACAAAAAATAAGTGCATAGGAGTGATTTAACATACAGCAATAATGGGGAAATTATAATATCTGGTAACCATTAAGGTCCCACGGTTTCTGGTATTGAATTTCGTAGTTGTAAATGATGACTCTGTGTCTCTATCTCCAGTGACCCCCAGTCCACTCTCCTCCTCAGCAGCTATGGATAAGGCGGGGGGAGGTACAAGTGTCAGACACAGACTCGGGAAGAAGGTGGGTCTCCCAGTGGTGTCCAGTACCACCGACATCGAGGACACCCCAAAACTTAAGACAGGTAAAATCATTGCTGATTAAGTGAAATTTGAAGTAGAATTGTGAAGCTAAGTTGTAAAATTGTACATATATGTGACCACTTCACGGGGACACAGAAAGTAAATAATAAATGCACTGTGTTCACATGTTTCTGGCAATGCTACATGTAATCTTTTAGTACATATATTTTTATAAAGAGAAGATATACTAGTGGTAGATGTACCTTTAATGCATTACTGATAATCTAGTGACAGGGTTTGTAATGTAACATGAAAGAGATTATAAATTTAGTTTAAGTATAAAGGGTTTTTCTGATTTAGCTACTATTGTTTTGAAAATAATATAACTGCAATGTACTAGATGCTGCTTTGTAAATACTTATTTCTTGACATTTCCAGCAGGGGTAACAATAAGACTGGGTGCCCAGAAATCTGATGTCAGTTCTAGTAGTGGTGTGTTCAGCAGGCTGGGAAAGGCTGTCTAACTCCAAGAGATTCTACACAGGGATTGTACTAGGTATACACAACAGACAGCAGTTTAACAGACTACAGCATGGAGAACTATAATTGAATACCATGGAGTATTCAAGCATCCCAAATATACATGTACCGGTACGTGTAATCGTGTATATTTAAATAGAGTTCTTATCATGGGCATTATCCTTAGAAAGGCAGTGCTATATAACCTTTGGTGTAAGTGAGCAGTAGGATGACATGGAGGGAAAGGCTGTGTTATTTTACTAATATGTTCATCTTGACATGGGATTTAGGATATCCCCATAAACATTTTATGTTGCATTATGTTTTGAACATTGTACATTACTGTATATTTTGTACTTTTCTTTTAAGAAAGTCATTATGTGACTTTTTATTATGTCAGTCAGCTTCAGTCAAACTGGGAGAATAATTTAACTTGACAAAACACAGCCATATTAGATAAAAAAAATATTTAGCAAGTCATTTATAATCTCCCTATTCTCCACACCTTATCAGTATTTTACAGTGTCTATCTGAAATCTACTGTTTAGAGCTAATCAAGTTCCTTTCTATAAAGTTAAAAACTAACAAGATGAAAGTTATTGTGAATATAAAGGACTTACATGCAATTATGAAATTGTAAAAAAAAAAAAAAGAAAAAAAAAGAAAGAAAATTGTTTCACACTTACATCATTGCAAATTTTGAATTGCTGCAAATGTCAATACAAATTATATCGTAGATGTTGCAGTGTGACTAATGATTGTATATATACATGTAATTATAATTATTACAGGTACATATTCTTACTGTTAAATGTATTTATAGAGCAGTTGTGTTGTGTTGAAAAATTTGTTCATTGATTTACCAGGATGAAGTCCATTTAGACTTGTAAGTAGCTGAAGGGTTGTCATTAGGCGAATAATGTAATTGTTATCAGTGTGAACAGGTTTTTTTTGAGATTCCCCTTTCATCGTATATGATTCAAAGAGATTGACTGGTCAACATATAAAGTTATCTCTGAATATATAATATCAAATTCCAGTTGATAATGTTAACCCAGACTTTGTAATTGTCTATGGAACAGAGTCAAGGATTTTTTTTTAAATGGAGAATGTATAAATTCAAAGAATGCTAGTTGTGTACCTGTATTTGATTTTTACAAGAAAACAGACAGTTTTAACTTTAATTTCCTGTAAAGGTTTTCTTTCGTAGTATAACTTTATGTATGTAATACATTGCAAATTCTTTACAAAAATTTTCAGCGGCAGACCAAAAAAAATTTCATCTAGTATGGTAATGAATCTTCTAGTTTTTCCATTTACTTATAAAAGACTTTTATCACATACACATGAACTACCATGTCAGACATTTTTCACATAAAAACTGGAGGAACAAGAGGTACATATACATGTCATTGATTATTAGAGATGAATGGAGGGTTAAATTACCTAGCAGTAGATCAGTATTCTGTAGCTCACTGGTCAGAAAATCAGCGGTTTTCTTTCTCAATATTGTCAGACCAGTCAGATACAGGTCTCATGATAAGATTCTGGAGCCACCTCATTGTTCAAGTTGTCTTTCCTTTAAATCCTTTCATTAGTACATGTACTTTACAACTGTAAACTTAAATGTGATAAATACTTTTAAGGTTGTCCATCCTTCTGCCAGGAACTGTAACTACGTGCATTGACAGTATTTATTTGAAAAAAAGTTCTTAAATCATGATAAAAATTTATTTTTGTGTGTGTGCTGTGCAACAGTTTGCAGTCATAGTAAAGATCTTGTAATTATACTCTATATAAAATACAACAAACTGACACCTTTTTAAAGAAAATTTATTTGGCATGAAATAAAATTGGAAGTGATGGGATGGCAACCTTTATTCAACTACATTTTCAATGTCTGATATATGGAAAAATTAAATGAAGATGATATTAAATCTTTATAATTGCAATATTAGTCATTGGCATATTATATAGGTATTTGAATAGTTTCACTTGAAATTCATTTAATATTTACTGTAACTTACATTTTATACATGAAAACTTGATTTTTGCAAAATTTCAAAAAAGATTATATTAACACGAACATTAAGTGCTAGTGGATATCCAACAAATAGAAGTATGAATTCCATTGCAATGAATAGTGAAAATTATGAGTCATGAATAAAAACAATGTTTTTTGTCTCACAAAGTATTTCATGGTTGTAAAGTATGTGATTTATGGTATATGAATAGAATATGTTATTAAGTAATTCAGAAAATGAAATGTTTTGTGATCTTAAAAATAAACTGAAAACTGAGTTAAACATTATTCAGTTTCTTTTTTGCACATACTTGTATTGCCTGAAGTGCAGAGGAACCCTATTGAGAAAACAGTTATCAGTCACATGCTACCAACATGCTACTACTCGTATAATGTTCTCTCAAGAAGTAGGACATTGATATTTGTTATGTGTATAGCTTGTCACAAAACCTCTTGAAATAGGTTTAAGATAAACTGGTGTTTATCATTTATTCTCTTATCAGATGTTTTAAAATAAATGAATATATGATATTATAGGGGCGAAGATACAGATTTGAAGGATAAAGTTTATTATTTAAAAGTGAAAGGATTCGATCAACCATGTCCAGAAATTCATAGTTTCAATATTTACCAGATAAAATATTTTTATAAGATTACATTTTCATGTAAAATGCTCTAGGAACACATGATATTATACAGAAAATTTGATTAAATGTTAAATTCAAATCTGTGTCTAATCAAAAGGTAGGAATTTTTAGACCAATTTAGTCTCTGAGGTAACTTATTGATGTCTGTTTCCCTCCGTTCTCTGCACTCGGCTTCATCTTTTGAACTTTGAAGGAAGTTTCCTCACTGGAACAGATTAACCATCAATTCAACTAGTTAGCTCCTCAGCAGAAGGCTCAAGTGAGCTTTTCTGATCAAATTTTGTCAGTCGAACATCCGTCTCAGAACTTTTTACATTTTCAACTTCTTCTCAAGAACCACTGGGCCAATTTTAACCAAACTTGGTACAAAGCATTCTTCGGTGAAGGGGAATTTAAATTGTTAAAATGAAGGGCCAAGTTCCCTCACAAGGGGAGATAATCAAGAGAAGACAAAAATAGGGAGGGGTCATTAAAAATCTTCTCAAGAACCACTGGGCTAGAAAAGCTGTTACTTATATGAAAGCATCCTGGGGTAGTGTAGATTTATAATTGACTAAATTATGACCTGTGAGGTAGGAGGGGTCACAAAAGGTATAACAAGGGGAAAATTGGAGTAAAGAACACCATGGTCAAAGCTTCTCAGGTGAGCGATGTGGCCCAGGGGTCTCTTGTTTTGGTACATTGTATTTACAAAAAAAGAGGACGTTTTTTGCCTCCCTTGAGACGAATGGGTATGACTAAAACCATCTATATTAATACAATCTCTAAAAATCTTCTTTACTTCTGGATATCAAGCAATCATACTGTTGGCTAGATTTATATAATGGGCGTGATTAACAAACTTCTGAAATTCTGGACCCCTGGATTTTGACTCCAAGCTATGGCTCACTTATTATACTATGGGTTAAAAACAAGTGCCTGTGTCCTGGATGGGGATCATATGGTCATATATTGCAGCAAGGGGCCCATAGGCCACAACATTCACCTGAATAACTGCGGCTATGCTGTTTTTCACCAGATGTCCCCCCTAATAGTACCTATAATGTTGCCCCCACCTTACCCCCTGGTGGTCATGGTTTGACTTTGTACAGTTAAGAATTAACATTATCCCAGGATGTTTCTACATAAGTTTCAGCTTTTCTGGCTCAGTGGTTCTTGAGAAGATTTTTAAAGACTCTTTAGCTCACCTAAGCCGAAGGCTCAAGTGAGCTTTTCTGATCACATTTTGTCCGTCGTCCGTCCGTCTGTAAACTTTTTACATTTTCGATTTCTTCTCAAGAACCACTATGCCAGTTTTGACGAAACTTGGTACAAAGCATCCTTGGGTGAAGGGGAATTTAACTTGCTATAAAAATGAAGGGCCAAGTCCCCTCACAAGGGGAGATAATCAAGAAAAGACAAAAATAGGGTGGGGTCATTAAAAAATCTTCTCGCATCCTGGGATAGTGTAGATTCTAAATTGTTCAAATCATGACCCCCGGGAGTAGGGCGGGGCGACAATGGGGAATCTAAGTTTTACATAGAAATATATAGGAAAAATCTTTAAAAAATCTTCTTCTCAAGAACCACTGGGCCAGAAAAGCTGAAACTTATGTGGAAGCATCCTGGGGTAGTGTAGATTCTAAATTTTTCAAATCATGACCCCCGGGGTTAGGGTGGGGCCACAATGGGGAATCTAAGTTTTACATAAAAATATATAGTAAAAATCTTTAAAAAATCTTCTTCTCAAGAACCACTGGGCCAGAAAAGCTGAAACTTATGTGGAAGCATTCTGGGGGTAGTGTAGATTTCAAATTGTCTAAAGTATGATCAGTGGGGTAGGATGGGGTTATAATATTTATTACGAGGGGGAATTCTGGTAAGGAACAGAATGGTCAAAGCTTCTCAGGTGAGCGATGTGGCCCATGGGCCTCTTGTTTCCATATATATCAATCACAGGCACTTGTTTTGGTAAAGTTTTTAACCCATAGTATAATAGTAACAGTGTTATTATACTATGGGTTAAAATTTTTACTTCCGAAACAAGTGCCTGTGATTTCAATGTAAAATTTGGATTCCCTATTGTGGACCCATGGCCACTCTACCCCAATGGGTCATGATTTGTACAATAAGAACTTATATATTACCGAGGATGCTAGCTTCCACATTATTTTCAGCTTTTCTGGTTCAGTTGTTCTTGAGAACATCTTTCCCATATATTTCAGTGTAAAACATGGATTCCCTATTGTGGACCCACCTTATCCCCAGGGGGTCATGATTTGAACCCTTCTGAACTACCCATAATGTTTCCACATACGTTTCAGCTTTTGTGGCCCAGTGGTTCCAGCATGATTATGGTGTATTTCGTTGCCCCTTAAGTAAGTAAGATCACCAAGGATGCTTTGCATCAAATTTGGTGAAAATTGGCCCAGTTGAAAAGTTGAAAATGTGAAAAGTTTACAGACAGATAGACAATGGGTGATCGGAAAAACTCAGTTGAGCTCTCAGCTCTGATTATTTAAAAATGTAACTCTTATGAAATTCACATGCATGTTCAGGGATCGACACTAACTTTAAAACCATAGTTGTCAGCAGGGCTAGCCATTTCTAATTTGTACTAGCCCTGTTCATGTATTACTTGTCCAGAGCAGCCGAAGGCTTTCAAGGAAAGTTTGAAAATAGAGATGCAAAATCCTGCATTCTGGCTGTATTTTGGGTAAAACTTATATGTATGTCACTCTATGATTGTACCTAAGACCTTTTTCTATTCGAAAAATTCCATATTTATAATCATTTAGGGTATTTTGAATCACCTTTAAAGTTAACATTTTGACTTTCAAAAGTAATAATTATGATGATAAAACATGTTTGAAAATAAATTTAACAATTATCAAAAGAAACATGTAAAAACTTTTATTCGCGTGGAAAAAGAGATGGGAAAGTTCGCGACAGACAGATCCAGAGATGGACACAGGACAGGTCTTAAAATCTATGTGTCTATTCTCAAGAGAACCTAAATAGGCTTGGTCGCGAAAAATAATCATTGCGAACTAGTTTTCCCCGGGTTAATCGAGAAATAAAGTCGTCGCGAATAAAAGTTGGTTTACAGTATTGTGTGTAAATTATACCGGTAATTACTTTCTTGAAAATGTGAAAAATTGGTAAAATTTACTGTACCCTGCAGGGCAAGTTTAAAGACATATATGTTTGGTAGCCCGACCTCAGTATTCAGTTGTCCCGGGTCAGCGGGCTAGCATTAGTGTCGAACCCTGATGTTGGCATATTTCATGAAGCTTGTTTAATAGCATATGGTAGACTAGAAATACTAAAATTCAATCTGTCTCTGACACCATTTTGGAACCTTTGTTGGGAATAAAATCTGAAGTCACATGAGTATATTTATATGTGACTGATTCACTGGCAGATTTTGAGGCATTGGGACATACTCTCTTTTTGAAATTTCCAAACATTTTCATATGAACAATCAATAAATACAAGCAAATTCAAAGAATTGTGGTCCCCCGCTTTCAGTGTCTTTGTGGGTGAGATGTAATTTTTTATGACCAATTGTGTCTAATATGAACACTCTATGATATATCATATGTCATTTATTTAAAAATTATCACTGAAGTTGATTTTTTTAAAGATAAGGTCAGTCATCAAGGTCAAGGGGTAAGAAATCATAGCATGCTTGGAAATATCTTTTCACAGGTAATGCACATGTCAAATATGAAAGCCTTATCTCTTCTCAATATAAGGAACAAGATGCGTTTGTGAAACACTGATGACCCTGTATGGCAACATAATGAAGATTAAACTTTTCTTAAATGCAAATTAAATATATTTAATTATTATTACCCAAAGTAGGGCTTTCTCACAAGAAATACGATCATGAAATACAAAATCCCTAGCATCACCTGTTCAAAAGTTATGGTCAAGGATAATTTTTTGAAAGTTAGGTCAAATTGCAAGGTGAAAGGGCCTGAGTTGTTGGTTTCTTAAGAAAGGTCTTGTCACAAGTAATGCATATGTGAAAAATGAAAACCCTAACCCAGTAACCGTTCAAAAGTTATGGCCAAAGCTAAATTTTTTTTTAAAAGTAGGTCAAATTCCAAGGTCATGGTCAAAGGGTTAAAGTTCTTGGTATCCAAAGAAGGGACTTGTCTCAAGAATTGCATATGTGAAGTATGAAAGCCCTAGCCCTTACCGTTCAAACGTTATTGCCAAGGTTAAAGTTTTTTCATAAGTACTGAAATCTCCAAGGTCTAGCTCAAAAGGTAAAGTTGTTTGCATCCAATGAAAAGTCTTGCCACAAAGAATATATATGTGAAATATGAAAGTCCTAGTATCTACCATTCAAAAGTTGTGGCCAAGGTCAAAGTTTTTGAAAAGTAGGTCAAACGCCAAGGTCAAAGTTCTTGGTATCCAATGAAAAGTCTTCTCACAAGAATTACATACTAGTATATGACGTATGAAAGCCCTAAGCCTTTACCATTCAAAAGTTATGGTCAAGGTTAAAGTTTTTATAAGTACAGAAATCTCCAAGGTCAAAAGGTCAAGGTTGTTGGTATCAAATGAAAGGTCTTGTCACAAAAAATACATATGTGAAATTCCTAGTTTCTACCATTCAAAAGTTATGGCCAAAGTAAAAGTTTGGAATTTTTGTGCAAAAGTGGGTCAAACTGCAAGATCAAGGTCAAATTTGGTGGTACCCAAAGAAAGGTCTTATCACAAGGAATATATTATGAAAGTTATAATATAAAAGTTATAGGTTAAAATTTTTTTAATAAAAATATGCATGTCATTAAAATATGCATGTCAAATTACACTACAATTGCTGTAGATAATACTACATGTACATGTAAATAGAAAACAGCAATTTTAGTGAATCACGCTTATGATGAAATTCCCAGGATGGATGATTTTGCTTCATTTTCAACTTCACAAATTTGATCATTTTTTTGTATTTGTGAATTTCAATATACCGGTATATTTCTGTAAAAAACTTTGTTTTCTTACTGTGGCCTGATATAATTCCGGAGGCATTTATTCTTAAATAAACATGAATCTTCTCGACATGTGAATGCTTAGTGACACGTTGGCACTGTTTCTCTAGACAATGGTTCTAACTTCTATTCATACATTTCCACATATTGACCTTTTATTTTGCCCATCACAGAAGAGTGCCTGAACGCCTTTATTTGAACAAATATACTGTACATGTACAGGACATAGGGATGCTTTTAACTTCTTTCAGTTTATTATGCAATTGACTAATAATGGTCCACCCGTTTTTTGAAAAGCTTTGTTCTATTCCTTTTCCTATTCATCTCCATTTAAAACTTGGACCCACTGTTTAGTGTGACATATTTAAAACAGAAAAGCGCACCCGAGTCTTTGGCTCAGGTAAATCCCTCCAAAAACAACAGTAAGAATAAGCCATAAAAATTCAATAGAGCAAAACATTTATTAAAAAGAAACAAAAATCTTGCATTTTGCAAGACACAAGAAATAAACACATTGCAGTATATTTATAACTATCACATTATCATACCGAAGCTCTGAATAGGTCTAAACTGCTACTGATCAAAATTTTGTACAGATGAATTAAATAACTAATGATGGATGATCCCTCACAGTGTGCATTAAAACAATTGAATGTTACTTATTGGACTACATATTGTTCATTTTCTGTACCTAAAGTAATAGAAAGCGGCGGCGGCTGTTGCCGCGGTCACAAGAACTAGTAAGCTACCGTAGAGCGCTGTATTGGAGGAGGAGGAGCTAGAAGGAGTGCGTGATACAGAGGATCGGGAGCCGGCGGGGGACGCGCCTTGTTCATTCTCCTCACTCTCCCTCTGCTGCTGCTGTAAAAGTCAAAGGTAAACTTCATTTCATTATGGGTATACAGATATAGCTAAAGCAGATAAATAAACTCTGGATTCAAATATCTATTCACTCTAATAATGCACAACTTTCAAACTATCTGAATAAATGTTTGAATTTATATCATCCACATTCATTTTCTGATTAGCTTAAAAATGAAAATTTTTATAAACATGGACTTCAATTTTGACTTTTTATCATGAAACAAACTTATGATTCTTGTAAGGCCTAGCTAGCTAAGAGAGGGCTGCAAATTTTCCACATTGATTGTGCAGCATTCTCTCCTCCATCAGACACATATGTTAAGTTTTAACTCACATTTATTGCCTCCTCTGCTCCCTGCAGAACCCTCAGAGTGATTGTCTCCCCTGCATTGACAAAGTGTTGTACTGCTTCATTATGTGTGACTCTCTCCAAGCTGTGGCCGTTAATCTGAAGTAAAAGAGACAAATCTTAAATACAAAATAACTCTGCTGGTGCTAGAACCCAGGTTGAGAAAGTTAAAGTGAAAAATATATTGAGGTAGATGTATTTCTCAATAAGCAACAAGAACCATCATCATGCAAAATAATTAACCTTACTGTATTCAGTTGAATTGATTTTTTGCAAGAAATTTTATAAATCCTTAAAGACATTGTAAAGGACAATAAAGCAGTTTCAATTAAGTGCCAAAAGTAAAGAATAAACAATGAATAAATACTTCAAGAACTTTGTCTCCCTCTCTTAACCGGCCATCCTGAAATGCGGCGCCATCCTCTCTGATTTTGGTCACAAATATTCCCGAATCGCCCTGTACATATGGAATGTCTACACCTCCTCTGATGTTAAATCCTAGACCTGTAATACAACTTTAAATATAAAATAATGCTGTAAAAACTAAGATTTCAGAAACCAAATGTATTACATGTACCATACTGACTTCTTCAAATACTAGAAGTGTAGCTGCATAATTTGTCCTCTGATTTAAAATTCATATAGACTGAAATACTAAAGCTACAGATCCATCCATGGACTGAAAGCTCTGACTGAAGTTTAAAAAGTTTTTGTTTTAACATGGGAGGGAATTATAAAAGATAGTTATTTTACCATCTTAACTTTATATAGGAAACATTTTAACAGAAGTATAATAATATTTCTTATACACATTTCAATGCATAGAGCTCAGCATCCCATTTAACTCTAGACTTGCTCTTAGTACTTTTACTTTTCATCAGTTCTAAACTGTATATATTTGCTTTCAACGAAATTGTGTAAAACAATCACTGAGGCTAACACCCTATTATCTTTATACATTAGGGTAGAATCTGATATTCCAAAGCCACATTTTAGAAGCAACAAATAATAAATGAAGATACAAAAGTAACAAGATGTGTTTGTCAAACACTTATTGCAGCTTGTGAAGAGGGTTAAACTGTAAGACTCTAATGTCAAGGTCAAAATTGTTGGTATGCAAAGGAAGGTCTTGTCATAAACTTGTGAAATATGAAAGCTCCAGTACTTATGGCCAAGATTTAAGTTTTTAAAAATGGGTCACTCTAAGGTCGAGGTCAACAGGTCATATTTGGTGGTACCAAAGAAAGGTCAAGTGACACAAGGAATACACCTACGAAATATGATAGCCATAGCTCTCCCTACTCAGAAGTAATGGGCAATGATAAAGTTTTTGCGGACAAACAGACAAACAGGACAAAAACTATATACACTTGACTTTAATTATAATGCCCAATGTATTAGGTTTTATCAATAGTTTGGTGTTTGAAACTCATCATAAAATAAGCTAAACCAATCTCTACCCAGAGTTATCATTCCACTTAAACCTCTGTCAATGTCCAAAAAGTACCTGGTACCAGACACAAGTGTTCTTTTTTTTTCAATTGTTGTTCAAAATGGCACACAAGAAAGATTAACACCTTTACATTTCTGTATGTGCATGTGTTAATGCTTCGAATTGTTTGTCTATAAGAACTACACCAAGTAAAAGTAAGCTAGTTTCTACAAGAATCTTAATTGATATTTAGACATTGACAGGGGTGTTGTAGTAAGAGAAAAACGCCCTCGGCCTCTGGTGAGAGAATGAAGCTAGACATGCAGGGCTGACTACTAATCATGTAAAAGTTGTCAGACATGCCAAAAATCAAGAAGTTGATAAAACATTGGTCTTTTACAAATTCCTCTTAAAGTCATTGATCCGAACCAAAAGGCTGACAAATTCTATCCGTTTGCTTAATTGTTACAACTATTAGTTGGTGGTCGTAAACAAGGTTATTTCAAACATCTGGGTTGTCCCTAAGAATTGAAATGTAAGAAGGGGGATCAGGTTCCTCCTCTAGTGAGAAGTAAAGGAGAATACCAAAATAAATGGGATTACATTGTTATAGGCAGTAAAATTCTTGGCCCCTGGGACAACCCTGAAATGCTGATAACTGAATCCTTATTTTTCAAAGGTTACAGCGAGCTCAATAGACTAACGTGTACGAATGGAGGAAATTCGGGTTGAAATCTGCACATTGTTCCAAGAAATTTTTATCTCACCGCATGAAAAAATTCCAAACTCCCAATAATCCTTTGCGGTGCATAGCAACATTGTGGCAGAAACATAGCAACAACTTACTTGAAAAAAAGTCTCTTACTGAAGCTCTACTGGTTTGTACTTATAGCAAAGGAAGAGAAAAGTACTTAAGCAGTTGGGAATTGAAACTTTCCAACAGCAATAAATAGAATAATGATCCTTGATTAAGTCTCTTTATGTTCTTAGTGTATTCTACTTGTATGCCAAATTATATTATAATCAAACTAAATCTGTATTTGGAGTAGCATTTTGAGAGTATTAATCAAAAATTTCTATTTTTAGTAACCACGGCAACATCGTTCATCAAAATCAAAAACGGATACAAAGAATTATGTATCTTAGTGTAGTCTACTTGTGTGCCAAATTACACTGAAATCAGACCAAAACTGTAGGAGAAGTAGCATTTTGAAAGAATTTCACAAAAATTTCTATTTATAGTAACCACGGCAACACCATTCATCAAAATCAACAAGAGGCCCATGGGCCACATCGCTCACCTGAGTAGCTTTGACCATGCTGTTCTTTACCAGATTTCCCCCTTGTAATAACCTATTGTGATTCCAAATTATGGCCCCGTCCTACCCCCGGGGGTCATGAATTGAACAATTTAGAATCTACACTACCCCAGGATGCTTTCACATAAGTTTCAGCTTTTTTGGCCCACTGGTTCTTGAGAAGAAGATTTTTAAAGTTTTTTCCTATATATTTCTATGTAAAACTTGGATTCCCTATTGTGGCCCCGCCCAACCCCCGGGGGTCATGATTTGAACAATTTAGAATCTACACTACCTTAGGATGCTTCCACATAAGTGTCAGCTTTTCTGGCTCAGTGGTTCTTGAGAAGAAGATTTTTAAAGATTTGTTTTATATATTTCTATGTAAAACTTGGATTCCCTATTCTGGCCCCGCCCAACCCCCGGGGGTCATGATTTGAATAATTTAGAATCTACACTACCCCAGGATGCTTCCATATCAGTTTCAGCTTTTCTGGCCCAGTGGTTCTTGAGAAGATTTTTTCAAGACCCCACCCTATTTTTGTCTTTTCTTGATTATCTCCCCTTTGGAGGGGACTTGGCCCTTCATTTTAACAATTTAAACTCCCCTTTACCCAAGGATGCTTTGTACCAAGTTTGGTTAAAATTGGCCCAGTGGTTCTTGAGAAGAAGTCGAAAATGTGAAAAGTTTACGGACGGACAGACGGACGGACGGATGACGGACAAAATGTGATCAGAAAAGCTCACTTGAGCCTTCGGCTCAGGTGAGCTAAAAACCGATACACAGTATTATGTATCTTACTGTAGTCTACTTGTGTGCCAAGTTACATTGAAATCAGACCAAAACTGAAGGAGGAAAAGCATTTTGAAAGAATTTCACAGAAATTTCAATTTTTAATAACCACGGCAACACCGTTCATCGAAATAAAAAACCGATACACAGAATAAAGTATCTTAGTGTAGTCTACTTGTGTGACAAGTTTTATTGAAATCAGACCAAACTGTAGGAGAAGTAGCATTTTGAAAGAATTTCACAGAAATTTCTATTTTTAGTAACCACGGCAACACCGTTCATCGAAATCAAAAACCGATATACAGAATTATGTATCTTAGTGTAGTCTACTTGTGTGCCAAGTTACATTGAAATCAAACCAAAACTGTAGGAGGAGTAGCATTTTGAAAGAATTTCACAGAAATTCCTATTTTTAGTAACCATGGCAACACCGTTCATCGAAATCTAAAACCAATGTACAGAATTATGTATCTTAGTATAGTCTACTTGTGTGCTAAGTTACATTGAAATCAAACCAAAACTGTAGGAGGAGTAGCATTTTGAAAGAATTACACAGAAATTTCTATTTTTAGTAACCACGGCAACACCGTTTATCGAAATCAAAAACCGATACACAGAATTATGTATCTTAGTGTAGTCTACTTGTGTGCCAAGTTACATTGAAATCAAACCAAAACTGTAGGAGTAGCATTTTGAAAGAATTACACAGAAATTTCTATTTTTAGTAACCACGGCAACACCGTTTATCGAAATCAAAAACCGATAAATAGAATTATGTATCTTAGTGTAGTCTACTTGTGTGCCAAGTTATATTGAAATCAGACCAAAACTGTAGGAGGAGTAGCATTTTGAAAAATTGTTTACAGACAGAGAGACAGACAGACGGACAGACAGATGAACGCCGGACGCATTACTATCGCATAAGCTCTTCTGGTCTCTGACCAGTAGAGCTAAAAATTACAAACTACGATTTAATGCAATCTCCATACCATAAAACTATCGATTGCGTTCTAAGTCAACAGGACTTACTTTCATGACGATGTCATACTTTCGTCACTTTAACGGCTCGGGTATTTCCGATTTTGTCGGAAACTTCCGAAAAGTTCGGAATCTCGATCCCGATGCCTGGGAAGTGATTTCTTTTTATTCTTTTCTTTTATTAATGAATAGAGGATAGGCAGTGCAAGTAAAAGCTGAATAAAGGTTTTTGAGAGTAAATAACTGCGCTCGCCCCAACGGTCGCACCGTAGAACATATTATCAGTCGAGGGCATCATGGAAACAACTTATTTTTGAAATGATTTGTTTAAGTTATCAAATGTCAACATTTTGGGTTATCTTTCCCTGATTATGCCTTCCTTCTGTAACTTATTTCAGTTATTGGTATTTTACTATTCATTATTGTAAACCTACTGGTATCTGAAAAGCTTTAGTCATGCTGTGCTTGGGTTATTAAGTAGAAGGAAAAGGTTCATGACAGTAAAAGTAATCTATCTTTACAATCTAGCACATTGAAATTCCTCAAATCATAACTTATTTCTGTTATTTCATCCTTAACCCACCTCACTTTAGAACTCTTGCACAAAAATATACAGCTTTGCACAAAAAATGTAAGACTTAGAGATTGTACAGTAATGTCCAAAGATAATAAGAAAATTAGTCTCAGTGTTGGCAAAATTGGCGGAAGATGGGTAATTGACCCCTGAAATGTTCATGAAATGAAATTATTTTTCCTTTAAAAAAATCATGATATTTTTTTGATGTCATCCTAACTGCTTAGAAGATATTAAGTCTGTTAATTTTATTAAAAGAAGTACGTATATTTACAACTTTCTCAGCCTTACATTGTCTTTAATCAGCAGAAAACTCAACATATTGATGTTTTTTGGCAAAACTGATAGGTATTCTACTTTTTAAGAGTTAACTCAAATGAGTTACTTCTTTGTATAGTCCTAAATAAGTGCAGTAACCTAAACAAGTTATTTTAAAAAATAACTTGATTCCATGATGCCCCTGACTGATTATAGAGCAAAGTGATTTTTATTCCCTGTGGCTTTAAAATATATTGCAAATTAACAAAACTGAGAATCTTTTGTAAATTGTTTCTGATTGAAGCACATCTAAATGTTTGTTAGCAAAGAAGATAAACAGTACTTAAATGTTTGGCATAGCAAAGGTAAACAAAAATTTTTTTTTTTTTTCAGGTCCAGGAATATCACTAATTTAGCTACAGTGCTCGTGCTGTGATTCGCCATTGTCGCCAATTGCGAATTTTTTTCAAAAGTGGCGAAAAGAAATTCATAAGTGGCGAAAATGAATTTTTTAGATGTACCATGTACAAAATTTGTGTAGTCCTGGTTAGCTCCTTTGTTTCTTCAATGTATACAGATAAGTCCCTTTGTTTATTTAATGCAGCAGAGGTGTGAAAACTGAAACCTACATGTAGGAAATCATGTCTCACTTGAACGAACACAGCTGACTAGGTAACTAGCCTGGAGCAATAAAGGGATACAAAATTGCTTGAAATAATATAATTTGGATTAAACAAGGGGGGATAAAGTGTTATTAGGAGGTGAAGTTGGTAAATAAAAGATTTTTATCAACAAAATCTGGATCTATGTAGATCGTTTTTTTTAAAACTGAAAATAGCTGGGAAACATGACGAAAATTGTAAAGAATGGCTTCAAATTTTACCTAATAAAATTTGAAAAATGTGCACATTATACCATAAACTGACAAAGAGTGAAAAAGAAATTGGTTTGGAAACAAAATTATCTTAGTAAATTACACTGAATTATTTACAATTTCATGAGCTTGCATATTAAACTCTGGAGTCTCCAATTTGTTAAAATAAAGTCAAGTTTTAAACCTAATTTTCATTACTTTTTAATTACACTTCTTTTCTCATAAATGTCATATATATTTACCCGGTACTAGGTCTGTAGCCCCCCCCCCCTCCCAGGCAAAAAACAAATGTAAACAAGAGGACATTTTCTGTCAAGAGTTGGCTGATATCAATTCAATATCAAATCAATTGTATAATTCCAATATTAGTTTTTTTTTAAATGGATACTACCATAAGCATAATAAGCTTTAAACATTACAATTTTAAATCAATGTCTGTGATAAAGATAATGAAAAAAAATTTGAATAACATAAAGTGCATTGCATTGTCGAGAAATCAGATGTAAGTATGCCTTTCCTTTTGTCGCGAAAAGTGGCGAAAAATATTTTCGGTCCAGTGGGAGCCCTGTTTAGCTATATAGCTTAATTTACCTATATAGCTTTATTTAGCTATTTTAGAATAAGTTTCTGTTTTATGAAAAGCAGACAAAAAGTCGCATGAAAATTATGGCTGATATTGATATTTTTTTTTAAAGGTTTGAAAAAAAACAACCTAGGGCATAGATAGTAAAAACATTGCCTCTTTTAAACACTTTTAACCAAAAAATGCATCTCTATTGTTTGGATAGCTGTCCCTCACTGGAAGTGCGATGAGGCATGACTAAGTGTGATTGCCTTGCATTGTGCTGAATTATTATCAATTATCTTGTTGACGGTGACAAAAACTGCTTTTCTTTGTTAAAATAGCTGCTTAACCACATATTAACTGTTATACATAGCCCCAAAACTTTTAGATCTTTGATTGCAATTGCAAAAAACAAGAAATGTATTTAAAAGTGGGTTTTTGGTGAATTGTTTTCAGTCCATTTCAAAGTTGAAAACTAATACTGCCTCATTATGCGACTTTTTGTCTGCTTTTCATGAAACATAAATTTACTCTGAAATAGCTATATAAAGCTATATTACATAGGTAAATAAATCTATATAGGTAGATTTAGCTATATAGCTAAATATTGTGATTTTCCTAGACCTGTTTTTGACAAAATAAAAATATTTCAATATTTATTGAATGAACAATGGGCTGATCTGGTATGCATGTTCAAATTTCTTTTCCAAAAGGTTTACAGCTCTGTAGCCAGCAAAATTGACGTATATATAATCCAAAAGGTGGAAAGTGTTAGTTCGAATTTACTGCAAAACCCTAAGGTCCTGGCACAGTGAGAAAAATAACGGTCGAGAAAATTCGAAACTCATACCGAAATTCGTGTTTAGCAACGAAGGATAATAGTACAGATTTATCCTTGATATACCTCACTTACCATGCTCTCCTCGATCTAATGTTATTTCTACTATATTGTCAGGGGGTGCCTCAGCCATGGATACAGCGAAAAATTATAGTTTCGATTTGCACCTCAAAGGTCGGTTATTGCACTCTTTTGCTTGGTGGAGGTAAAGAATTTCAAATTCAAAGCGTTCGTAAAACGTTGATGATTTCACCCCTCAATCCCGTTGGAACTTTTTCACTGAAAAAGATGAACAACCTGGAGCTTATTTTCGGTCTTTTAGAATCAAATAATGTAAGTATATGTACCCATGGCCTGCGACAGATGTTGGATACATGTATTTTCTCGATGTTCATAACATGGGAGATAAACAAATTAGTGTTAATCCAATAATCGGGTAAAAACACTGGAAGATATTTTATTATATAAAAAAAAAATAGAAAATGAAATATATATAGCATGTACAAAATCATGCTTTGATTTTACAATTTTCACATTAACAACCAGTGACTTTGTCTCAACCAGCATACAAGTATTGGCAAGTAATTATTACTATAAACAGGTCCAGTCCAAAGACTATTTCTACCTATGTAGCTATTAATAGCTACCTAGGTATTTAAAGCTACCCAAAGGAGCTATTTTTACCTACTTTTTATATTTTCTGCATTTTGCAATCAAAAGACCATATGGCGCAACATGGTGAATACCATATTTTTTTTATATAGTCACACTAATGATGAATACGACGAAATTTTGGCCAAAAAATGATTACTTCCTGAATCGGCAATATTACATTAGTTTCTGTGCAACATTGATAATATACGAAGTAATCATTTTTTGGCCAAATTTTTGTCATATCCATCATTAGTGTGACTGTATCAAAAATATGATATTCACCTTGTTGCGCCGTTTGGTCTTTTGATCGCAAAATGCAGAAAATATAAAAAGTAGGTAAAAATAGCGACTTTAGGTAGGTTTAAATACCTAGGAAGCTATTAATAGCTACGTAGGTAGAAATAGTCTTTGGACTGGACCTGATAAACCCGTCATCTTTGATCAGGTTGGAACAATCACCCAAAAGGGATATAAAAACCCGTTAGGGATATAATTTCCCTTTTAGGAAATAATTTTACAATGCAAAAAATGATTTTATTTGGGGGGGATTAATATCATAAATCTGCATCAAAATAATTTACATGTAAAACTTTTGGCAAGCAAGTTTTTCTGCAACCTTATGGGTTGTTAGATTGATCCCAAGAAGTTCACAACCTTCTGAGGGATCAATCTCTTAAACAGTGCCTGAGTGGTCATACAGAAAAACTTGTTAACCAAAAGTTATTCCCTTATAAGTATCTTGATGCAGATTTTTATAGCCAAGATAAAAATTTTCACTTTTTGCATTGTTAATTTACATCCCTTTTGAGAGATTATATCGCGAACGGGCTATTATCTCCCGTTTACAATTGGGCGATTGGTCCAAACCTGTTGATATAGCAAGCCTAGCAAAATCTCTTCTACTATTGAGCTAGGGCTGGGATGATACAACTTTTTCTATATCGATACTTATCACGATATTTGAGCCACGATACGATATGTATCACGATATGTTTAATTGCTTATAAAATCTTTTTTTGCATTGAAATAAACAAATTATTTCTTTGCAAATAAGAATAATTTATTCAAAAGAGTTGTTCATATGTTTTAAAACAAAAATATGTTACTCAAATGGTGTTAATTATTATTTATTTCATATCTACATTTATATTTAACTTATTTATTTTATATATCAAACCCCAAATGTTAAATAAACCAAGAAAATTAGAGGTCAGATTTTGATGGGCAATATTTCGATATTTCTTCATATGTATCGATATGCGTATCGTCCTCACATATATCACGATATATCGATATTTCGATATATCGTCCCAGCCCTATATTGAGCTACTATTCAAAATGGCTTGATATAGTTATACACTTATAAAGGTATTCACTAAATGAAGTTAATTGCAGCTAAATTAGAATTTTGATGGGGTGACCGACTGATCGTTATGGCGAGAGCAGTATAGTTTTCAATTTAGATAGGGTACATCTAAGCTCTGATGTTTTACATAAACAAAGTGTGAACATGCAGTGTTAGAATATTTGATCTTCTGTTTTATGCAATATTCATTAAATCAAGGGATTTTATTTTTTGTTGAACTTTTGTTGCTATGGCAAAAATGTGCTGCAGATCACTTAATTTTTGTGAAAAACTTTTTTTAGGAGAAAGTCATTATCTCCTTATTAGCCATTAAAGACAAAATTTTCACAAAATATGGTATTGCTGTGTATAATCTCAAGGAATACTTATATTCCTGTGAGTCAAATTTTGTGAGCACACTGTCTTGTGTAACTAATACACATGTAATTTTGCAAAAATAAAGTTCCGCAAATAAAATAATTCAGTTCACTTTATTGACAATTACCATGTCGACATATTGTCATGAACATTAAAAATATAACACAAACTAATATGATTAATGCATGCATATACAAAATGATAAGTGTGAGGTTAACAAAAGTAGATGTATTCTGTGTGGCTTTAAAAATTACAGAAAAATCTGACCTGCTAGCAATTCCAGAATTCTAATTTCTACACAAACTGTATTAGATAAATAATTCAGTTTTGAAATACTTGTTTAAGAATCTCAATTGCATTTCAGAATGATTTTTACATCACATGTAATGGAAAAATTGTCAGAAACCCTGAGGAGGTCCAAGAGGGCAGCATCTACCACATTGTACCAAGGCTGGTGGGTGGTAAGGGAGGTAAGTCAGGAATACAGTATAAAGGATTACAAGATTTATTGAAACTATATTATAGCAACTGATAGCTCACTGTATATTTAACAATAACTATATGCATGGGTATTGAAATTCTGAAGTAAAATCTTCAGCATGTAAAACAATTTGAAAATAATCATTATAGTAATCGCTAAGATAGATATAATTGTATTTTTTGTTGCACCACTTCAGGAAAACTTGCTTGATTATACTGAACAGTAGTTCTTCTGGTTATGGTACACTTGTAGTCATGTAATATAATTCTTTCTAGGTTTTGGTTCTATGCTGAGAGCCATTGGAGCACAAATAGACAAAACTAACAACAGAGAAGCTTGTCGAGATCTAAGTGGTAGAAGAATGAGAGATGTCAACAATGAAAAACAGTAGGTCTCCCTAGGATTATTACAAAATCATCAGAAAATTGTCAGCAGTAAACTACTATATACAGGGTTATTTTTGCCTCGCTTTGTTTTCGCCTTTCAATCTTATAAACAATTTTGCCTCATCTTAGATTCGCCCAGTCACACTTTTGTTTAAGAAATTATACTATATTTTTTGAATTTGCCCCGTTTTAAATTCGCCCAACTGAGGCTAGGGCAAAAGGGGCGAAAATAAAAAAGGGGCTTAATTTCCATGTATACAGTATACCTGTACGATTTAATTAGTTTAGTATTTTACATGGTTTATATACCGTATTTGGGGGAATACAATACGCACTTTTTTCCTAAAATAAATTACTGTGAGAAAGGGATGTATATTTTACATCACAATGGGATTTTGACAAGTTTTTCTTTCAGGTGAAACACGGCTATCATACGTACATACCGTAGTATTACCTATAGACATATGTAATTTCTTTTATTTATCGCCATATTTTAAACTTCGGAAAGTTATTGTTGGAAGGTATGCTTCTTAAAAATGTCACTTTCATAATCTTTTGATACTTAAATAACATGAAAAAGTAAGTTAAAAGTAATTTGAGCTGCATGTTGATTGTCTCCGAGGAGGCCGCCATTACCGATGTTATTTTTAGACGTTCACTCATTCCTATGTCACGTGTTTCCGTAATGATAGTGCACATGCACCTTATCTGCCAGACAAAGTAATAAATCATTTTTTAATGAAATACAATAAAATAAATATTAATTTTAGGTTTAAAATAACTCAATGATAATCTGCAACAATATTAACACCCCTCCATACGTCCCAATGAAAGGAAGCCAATGTTGTGACACACGTGCGCTGGTCAAATGATAATTACCTATCAACACCCCTCGGGGAAATTAATTGTCTACCGACTCCAAAGCAATGTTTTTACAGTTACAGCACTGATTATTTACTGCCATGTTAATTGCTTTGATTATTTTCTTTGTTAAAAATTGGGGGTCGGTTTATGACCTTTCGTATGTGTGAGCATGTGTAGATTACAGCACTTTAAACAATTAAACACTTGTTAAATGTAATTTTACCTTATTAGCTCTACTGGTCAGAGACCAGAAGAGCTTATGCGATAGTAATGCGTCCGTCGTCCGTCCGTCTGTCTGTCTGTCTGTCTGTCTGTAAACAATTTTTCAAAATGCTACTCCTCCTACAGTTTTGGTCTGATTTCAATATAACTTGGCACAAAAGCAGACTACACTAAGATACATAATTCTGTGTATCGGTTTTTGATTTCGATGAACGGTGTTGCCGTGGTTACTAAAAATAGAAATTTCTGTGAAATTCTTTCAAAATGCTACTCCTCCTACAGTTTTAGTCTGATTTCAATATAACTTGGCACACAAGTAGACTACACTAAGATACACAATTCTGTGTATCTGTTTTTGATTTCGATGAACGGTGTTGCCGTGGTTACTAAAAATAGAAATTTCTTTGAAATTCTTTCAAAATGCTACTCCTCCTACAGTTTTAGTCTGATTTCAATATAACTTGGCACACAAGTAGACTACACTAAGATACATAATTCTGTGTATCGGTTTTTGATTTCGATGAACGGTGTTGCCGTGGTTACTAAAAATAGAAATTTCTGTGAAATTCTTTCAAAATGCTACTCCTCCTACAGTTTTAGTCTGATTTCAATATAACTTGGCACAAAAGTAGACTACACTAAGATACATAATGCTGTGTATCGGTTTTTGATTTCGATGAACGGTGTTGCCGTGGTTACTAAAAATAGAAATTTCGGTGATATTCTTTCAAAATTCTACTCCTCCTACAGTTTTAGTCTGATTTCAATATAACTTGGCACACAAGTAGACTACACTAAGATACACAATTCTGTGTATCGGTTTTTGATTTCGATGAACGGTGTTGCCGTGGTTACTAAATTTCTGTGAAATTCTTTCAAAATGCTACTCCAAATACAATTTTAGTTTGATTATAATATAAATGTGGCATGCAAGTAGACTGCACTAAGAACATAAAGAGACTTAATCAAGGATCATTATTCTATTTATTGCTGTTGAAAAGTTTCAATTTCCAACTGCTTAAGTACTTTTCTCTTCCTTTGCTATAAGTACGAACCAGTAGAGCTTCAGTCTCGACAGAGACTTCTGGTCTTATACTTATTGGCCTCTTGTTTAAATAATTGAGAGTTGAAAATGAAATATAAATTATGCTAAAACTTTTAATAAAAGTGGTATCATTTAGAAAATAAGATATCCGTGAAGATTCAGAAGAGGAAAATCGTAGTCTTCTTAAAGAAATAAATACTTTGATGTTTCAATTTCGTTTCCTGTTAAAATATTGTAAGATAATTTTCAGCATGATTATCTAGAACCAAAATTAGATATGACAACTGATAAAACTTTTGACAATTTGTTGAAATAAAATTATTTTATCTAAGAATATGGCGACGCATAATTTCAAAATCACGTAACTATTCTTAAAAAAAAAAATCTGTTAATACTTTTACGCATCATTATCTTGTGCTTTGTTGAAATAAATGAATAAATAATTTTCTCCAGATTACCGCGATATGGAATGTCAGGATTAAGAGAAAGTTATAAAGTGTGTATTTAAAAAAAAGTGTGTTCAGTTAATTTTTGACACTTAATTCTCGCGTCGATTTTCGTAACAAATTACCGCGATTTTCAAAGTTCAGAACATCGCTTGGTAAATTTTTCTGTTGCGTATAATACATCCGAACTGCATAAAAAAAATATTTTTTCCCCAGTTTCAGACTCAAAAAGGGGGGTGCGTATTTTACATCAATGCGTATTATACTCAGCCAAATACGGTATTAAACATGAGTTATTTGATTGTGCAATTCCATTAATTTATAAAACAATTAAATATAATTTTATTGAAGAAGTATAAATTAAGACTAATTTTAAAACAAAGCAAAATAGTTTTGCCTCTTGTCTTTGTGATCCCCGTAATGTGCAGGCTTCTTACATATATATGTCCACAGTCAGACTGTCTACTATTTGCCTTAATTTTTAGGTCACCTGAGTAACTCAGGTGACCTATTGCTATCCGTTTTCGTCCGTAGTCGTGTGTCGTGCGTCGTGTGTTAACATTTGAACATTTTCAGCTTCTTCTCTGAAACCACTAAACCAATTTCAACTAAATTTAATATACAGCATCTATGGTTGAAGGGGAATAAAAATTTTGAATTTTATTGTCCCTGCCCCCCTGGGGCCTGAGGGGTGGGGCTAAAACCACTAAAATTATTGCAATCTAATTATCTTTTAAAATCTTCTTTACTCCTGGACATCAAGCAGGCAAACTGTTGGCGCGAATGTAATGAGCATTGAGTCCTCTACCAAAATTGTGAAATTCATGGCCCCAGGGTCAGGGGTTCTAGTGCTAGGGCGGGGCTATATAGATTATATAGTGAAAATGCATTAATTCTATGATGAGCAAGAGTGCCACTTCCAAAATTGTGAGTTTTATGACCCCAGGGTCAGGGGTTCTGGTGTTAGGATGGCTCTATTGGTTATATAGTGAAAATGCATTAATTCTTTGAAAATCTTCTTCTCTGCTTCTGGGTATTAAATAAACTAACTAAGTCATAGTTATGATGAGCAAGAGTGCCTCTTCCAGAATTGTGAATTTTGTGGCCCCAGGGTCATGGGTTCTGGTGTTAGGGTGGGGCTCTATTGATTATATAGTGAAAATGCATTAATTCTTTGAAAATCGTCTTCTCTGCTTCTGGGTATTAAATAAACTAACTAAGTCATATATAGTTATGATGAGCAAGAGTGCCTTTCCCAGAATTGTGAATTTTGTGGCCCCAGGGTCATGGGTTCTGGTGTTAGGGTGGGGCTCTATTGATTATATAGTGAAAATGCATTAATTCTTTGAAAATCTTCTTCTCTGCTCCTGGGTATTAAATAAACTAACCAAGCACATAGTTGTAATGAGCAAGAGTGCCACTTCCAAAATTGTGAATTTTATGGCCCCAGGGTCATGGGTTCTGGTGTTAGGGTGGGGCTCTATTGATCATATAGTGAAAATGCATTAATTCTTAAAAATCTTCTTCTCTGCTCCTGGGTATTAAATAAACTAACTAAGTACATAGTTATGATAAGCAAGAGTTCCTCTTCCAAAATTGTGAATTTTATGGCCACAGGGTCATGGGTTCTGGTGTTAGGGTGGGGCTCTATTGATCATATAGTGAAAATGCATTAATTCTTTGAAAATCTTCTTATCTGCTTCTGGGTATTAAATAAACTATGTAAGTACATAGTTATTATGAGCAAGAGTGCCTCTTCCAAAATTGTGAATTTTATGGCCCAAGGATCATGGGTTCTGGTGTTAGGGTGGGGCTCTATTGATCATATAGTGAAAATGCATTAATTCTTTGAAAATCTTCTTATCTGCTTCTGGGTATCAAATAAACTATGTAAGTACATAGTTATTATGAGCAAGAGTGTCTCTTCCAAAATTGTGAATTTTATGGCCCCAGGGTCAGGGGTTCTGGTGTGAGGGTGGGGCTCTATTGATCATATAGTGAAAATGCATTAATTCTTTGAAAATCTTCTTCTCTGCTCCTGGGTATTAAATAAACTAAGTACATAGTTATGATAATCAAGAGTTCCTCTTCCAAAATTGTGAATTTTATGGCCCCAGGGTCATGGGTTCTGGTGTTAGGGCGGGGCTCTATTGATTATATAGTGAAAATACATTAATTCTTTGAAAATCTTTCCTTTGCTCCTGGTTTTTTGCCAATGATCCAAGTATATAATTATATATATTTGTGATGAGGAAAGGTGCATCTAGCAAAATGGTTAATTTCATGGTCAGGGGTATCGGGCTGGGGGGGGGGGGGGGGTACATTGTCTGAAAATAAATAAATCATTGAAATCTGCTCTTTGGTATTAATCAACCATTTTATGATAAAATTTGCAAAATTTTGAAATATGTGGCCCCAGGGTCAGTGGTTCCTTTGGGATGAGGTGTACAACTGGTTATAAAGTGGAAGTGCATTTTCTCTTAATGTTACTCTGATCTACCTCTGGGTATTAAGTAAATAGAATAAGCATGCTAAGTCTATAAATTATGATAAGCAATGGTGCCTCTTTCAAAATTGTGAATTGCAAATTTCATGATCTCTGGTTTAAAACACGAACCAAATTTAATTGTTTGAAAGTTGTTGCACAATACTCAGGTGACCTATAAGGCCCGTGGGCCTCTTGTTGTTTTTCCAGTTTTAATGCCTGTGTCCGTGTATCTGAAAAATTTAAAAGAGCTTTAAATGAAAATTGACATAAAAGTATATGCATTTAAATGCAATAATTGAAGGTGGTTTACATCTGACTACATATAATAATTCAGTTGTAAAAAGAATCTAAATAATATAATTAAAGAATGCTATACTTATTGATGCTGTGGATTCAATCTAGGCTAAAGGAATGGGTCGCTAAAAAGGCAGAGCAAGAAAGAGAACGAGAGGAGAAGAGGCGGGAAAGAATGGAGAGAAGAAGAGCCGTGCCCAGTCACAAGTTTGAGGACCTGCTGTATGATCAACAGAAGGCAGCTGTGGCAGAAAACCAAGAGGATGCTCTACAGACTGGTAGGCTGTTAAATCTCGACGTACAGTCCTTACTGAAAATTAATCAATCAGGCTCCAGGGCCATAAAAACTGAGACCAGCTCACTTTAGATCTCAATCTCAGTTTTTCAATTGGGATTTATTGTAGAAAAGTGAGACTCAGATCAAAAGTGAGCTTTTTCCGGAGCCAGATATAATGCAAGAGACTTTGAATTTAAATTAATTTAAGTTTAGGGCATAAAACTGATAGTTTATTTTCATTATATATGTAGGATTGCAGCGAGTACTAAGTAAACAGAAAGCATCATGTACGATTACATCAGAGATGGAGGAGGCTGGGCCATCAGGAAGTGGACTCAAACGGAAAAGTGATGACAAGGGGGGGCCCTGTCACAAAGTCAAGAAACACAATGAATGGTAAGATACTAGGCAGATTGTCTATATAGAAAATATCCTATTGCAAAATATTTGTAAGTAATACTTTTAGCTCACCTGAGCTGAAAGCGCAAGTGAGTTTTTCTGATCACCCAATGTCCGTCCTTCGTCCGTCTAGCTGTCTGGCTGTCCGTTTGTAAACTTTTCACATTTTCAGCTTCTTCTCAAAAACCACTGGGCCAATCTTGGTACAAAGCATCCTTGGGTGAAGGGTACTATGAATTGTTAAAATGAAGGGCCAAGCACCCTTCCTAAATGAGATAATCAAGAAAAGACAAAAATAGGGTGGGGTCATTAAAAAGTCTTCTTCTCAAGTCCCACTGGACCAGGAAAGCTGAAACTTGTGTGGAAGCATCATGGGATAGTGTATATTCTAAATTTTTCAAATCATGATCCCTGGGGCTAGGGCAGGTCCACAATAGGGAATCCAAGTTTTACATTGAAATATATAAGGACAATCTTTAAAAATCTTCTTCTCAAGAACCACTGGGCCAGAAAAGCTGAAACTTATGTGGAAGCATCCAGGGGTAGTGTAGATTCTACATTCTTTAACATGATTAATTTGAGGATAGAATGCATGCATTAATATTTATTGCAGTTTGTGCAATTAATTACATTATCATATATAACATTTTTGTAAAAGTTTTCCCATTATATCACAAATATAATATTTTTATTAATATGCCCTAAAAAAACTGCCGAATCACGCTGGATACAGTTATGTTCCACCGGAAACAGTTATGTTGCCCTCCCGAACACAGTTATGTTCCCTCGAGTGCAATCATTCTGCATATTAATTATGTCGGGTTCGAAATTCACAGAGGCAGTTGCTAAGCAAACGTAAACAGTTTCACGAATTCAAAGTTAAAAAGTCGAGACAACATCTGCGATTTGTTTATTTGAATTCAGAGGAATTAGATACACATGTAATTTAATTGAGGGGAAAAATTCTTTAAATACAACAAAGGTTATCAACACAAGTGTCAGCATACTGAAAACGTTCTGCCATGAAACAGGACGGGATATTTCAGAATTATACTTAACGTACATATGTGTTCATAGTGTTCAATAAATATGTTCGATGATCGATTTGGGTTCAATGCTAAAAAATGTTATATACATGTACCATATATTACATGGCTTAATTCTCGGGCAGCAATACCAGAATATTTGCCCCTCGGTGACAGGAAAGCCCTGGAATGTTATGTCTCCCTCTGCCTGTGGCATCGGGCGACATAACACTCCAGGGCTTTCCTCTCACCTTGGGCAAATATTCTGGTATGCTGCCCTCGAAGCCATGTAATATATGTATAATTTTTTATGGGTTCATAGTGTTGTTTGATATTTTTAAAAAATTTAAAAAAAATTAACTTATACAAAGTTTAAAAAACTAGGGCAGCCATAATCCAAATGTACCAAAAAAAATAACTTTTTAAATTATTTATTACATCTCGTACCTATGCTGTTTGGTCTACACATGCTTAAAACCAAAGAAAGATGGCTACTGATTGCTTTTGGAAAAAGAAAATAGTCTGATGAACACAAAAGTGTAGTGTTTGGGAAAATGAACTATTTGTCAACTAACGCGGTTGACTTTGAGAAGTTTTCATATCTCTAGTGCACATTTATCTTTTCAGGATAGGGATTGACCTTGACAATCTAAGTGACCTTGATAGTGATGAAGAAAGTGAGCCTAAAAGTGATCAGTCTTCAGCAGATCAGAATGAGGCTAGTAATGGAGATCAAAGTGAGGCTGGTGATGAAGATCAAAGTGAGGCTAATAATGGAGATCAGAGTGAAGCTGGTAGTGGCTCAACAGAATCTGAACACACTGTGAGATTGACAACTAAAAATACACCAGACAGTGACTCTAAGGAGCAAGAAGCATCAGAATGTGAAGCAAATTTGAAAGAAATAAGGGAAAACATTTCTGATGTGGAGAACAAAACATCCTTTGAGAAATCTCAACAGGAGTGTCAAAAGAATTCTCAGGACTCCAGCACATCAGAGCCAGCCCCAGAACAGTCAGAGGAAACAGAGGTGTGTAGTCTTTACACATTATGAAAGTATTATTGTTAAGACAAATTGAAGTTTATTTTTGTAGCAAAGCCAGTCTTTTAAAAAAGTATTTCTGAGCAAAGTTATATGTACATGTATTTTTCATATTTTCTGCTTCGTTGGCAGGTTTCGTTTTAGAGAATTCATCAAACTTTTCAAATTGTTTTATGTATACACTATACAAATACGCGTACAGTTGAAATTCAGTAATGATATTTGGAATACCATTGATATGGCAAAAAGATCTGAAAATCCCAATCACATTCTTAATCTTTTCTTTCCTTGATATCTCAAATACTTGAAGTTTTTTCTTGGTTCGACCATATGGATATCTTTGTATGCAGCCTTTTTTTCCCATTTACTTATAAATTGTTACATGATTTCTGTATGACATGTTTTGTAGGATGAGAAGCCATTTGACTTTGATGACTACTGCAGTGTGGGAGACCTGGAGGTGTTAGGACTGGAGAGGTTGAAGTCTCTCCTCATGGAAAGGGGGATGAAATGTGGGGGGACCCTACAGCAGCGGGCTGAGAGGCTGTTCTCAGTCAAAGGACTGGACCCTAAGGACATTAATCCCTCACTGCTGGCCAAACCATCAAAGGGCAAGGGGAAAAAATAATAACTGACATTAATACAAGTTTATGATAATATTGGTAAAGCAACACCATAGAGCTGATTGATTTTCAAACTTACACAACAGTACATTCCTAGCTGGTATATAAATATTTAATGAAATAATTGAAAAAGTTAGCAAAGTTTGTATATGTATTTAATGAATGGGAAATTTGTATATTGTTTTTTTAAAGTAAATTTCATGTAAAATTGGTAAATTTTAAAATGATAGTTGTACATATGCTGATACAATTTTATGAGGTAATGATACAGTTGAACTTTAGTATTTCAAACAGTAGGCTTCAGTTCAGTTTTTTTAAAGGCCCCATTCAGTCTGAGATATCAATATTTGACTTTATCTTCATTTTGTGCAATGAATTTGTCATTATATCATCACTTTACATTATTTAATAAAGATTCATTTTCAAATACTACATTATTTAGTTATATCTATCTATACCCCACATTATAAAATATTTACCATTTAAAAAAAAAACCCTGGCCTAGGCCTAGGCATTAGCTGATGAACTCATTACAGTGGAAATATATACATGTATAATATGGAGATCTCTGGTGTCAGATGGTGGACAGAAGAATCAGTTTAAAGCAAAGAGAAAGACATTTTTAAATATATGAGTGCAAGTAGTTGCAATGATATATATTCTTGAGTATTTATAGAGTATTAAATGGTGGAATTTTGGAATGCAAATTTATTAAAAACTTGGACATAAAGGCCCCACTCATGGTTCATTAGTATTAAGGCAACATTAGTACATGTACATTGTATTTGTATTGATGTATGACATTTGAAGAAAATATTTTAAATAGTTTCTTAAAAACTGAGTTTAATAAACAATAAACAGTAAAGTCAAAGGTCTTGGGAAGGTCAAGGTAACAAAGTTGATGAATTCTCACCAAATAATGAGCAAAAGATTTTTTATTGTTTAAAGCCAAGTGGGCAATACTTTAGCCAAATTTCGGCAGATTTAGTAAATGAAAAAAAACAAAATTGAGAAAAGTGAGCTGGTCAAAGGAAAAGTTGAGGTCATGAATATTAATGAAGTTGAATAGCTCTCCTCAACATGTATCACCATTTAAAGTTTGATTAAACTATTGTGATTCTTCTATATAACTAGGCTAAATATAAATTTGAAGTCAAGGTCAAAGGGTCAAGGGAAAAAAATATGATGCAGTTGAATAGCTTTCACCAATAGGTATCAGACTATCAGTGCATTATGTTTGATTGGATGATGTATCAATTAAGTACTACCAACATCTGAGGTAAATATCTTGGTTGGTCCACTTCAGAACTGTTGGACCAGAAAGGCTGAAACTTTTACTCATCTTTTAGATTTTTGAAGTGTGGATTGTTAATTGTTCAAATCATGGTCCCATGGGATGTGCCACAATAAGGATTACATAGGGAAAATCTAGAAAACTCCTCTATTCAAGAGCTAATCATGTTAAAATGAAATAATTCTCTTGTACAAATCATGGTCTATGTATGTAAGTGCATGGTCAAAAAAAACAAAAAATATTTTAAAAAATGATAAATTTTTACAAAGGTATAATAAAAAACACATGTATTTCTCTACTGGAAAAAAAAAAACAACTGATGCATATGCATATAGATGTGTTTGACAGGGAAATTTTATATGACTAGCATTAACAAAAAAAAAGAAGCTGTGAAATGACTAGCTTTGAAAGAAGCTTGTCATAAATCAATCATTACTGTCTTAATTATCCAAATTAGCAAATTTCTATTTTGAGCTTCACTTTCTAATCTACATGATCTAATAGAAATGCTAGGGACCGTTTTACAAACTTGAAACTGAGACTAAAAATCAGTCGAGATATGAAACTGACATGTTCAAACTAACGTTAGTTAGTTCTTCGAAAAAGTTTAATTATATTTTGGTTTTACATTTTTAGTCGCAAGTTCTTTTGTAAAACGGAGACTCGGATTTTTCAAATTTTGAACTTTATTAAAAGTTTTACTAATAAAACATCGAAATCAATGTTTATGTTTATCATTTTACCGAAAGCGAAAGTAGACACGTGTACCTAAAAATAAAAGTGACGTTGAACGTGCATCGAAAGTAAACAAAAATGGCAACCTCCATTAGATTTTTTTGTGCAGGAGTAAATCGTGTTCTTACTCGATCTTTATGCAATCCTGCAGTTAACAGTAATAGAAAATTTAGGGTATGTTTTAGTGTAAAATTATGTAAAGTTTTATCCTGAAATGGTTCTGATTAATTGCCATATGGTACGATTGAAACGGAATTGGTTGCATAATGTTTCAGTTTTCACGACAGTGACTTCCTGCAAAGTAACAGTTTTATTTTCATGGCTTTGAGATATGAATACTGCACCTTGACTCCACAATTTAAGCCTATAGTTTCTACTTTTGTATTTTCAACTTTAGCTTGGAAGGTGGGGGGGGGGGGGGGGGTTGCATTACTGCCATTTTCAAGTGTCATCTTGCTTGCAAAGTTCGTAGATCTGTACATTTCCTATAATTTACTTCAAGAACCATACACTGTACCATCCAGAGCATATTTAGCCCGGTAGGTGGGGGTCAGCATACAAGCAGTTTGGCTATTTTATGCTAATTTACTTCACCGTAATATTGCTAGCCTGTCTGGTAGTCTCATATCGCAGCTGAGGAACCCAAATTAAACCCCGTTTGAGAGGATCCACTAACAGGGTTAAGTTACTTGTCCAAGATTACAAGGTCAGGTGATAGATTTTATCCCTAGGACCACTGAGCCTGTAACTGTCCATGGTAACCAATGTGCCATTATGGTTCTTAAAGCTCTATAACATGATTCGTTTAAAGATTCATGCTTTGAAAAGTACAGAAATATTTCAGATTGGTGAAAAAATTCCCTCGGAAGACTTGTTTGAAGATTCTCCATCAGAACCTCTGAATGCTCAGGAATTGTTCAAAGGGAAGAAAGGTGTCTTGTTTGCTGTGGTGGGGGCATTCACCCCTGGCTGTTCAGAGGTAAACTTGTCGGCAGAAATCTGGGTATCTCAGACTCCTGCAGACTTAATGTAATGAAAAAGAAAAGGATTTTCACCTCTCCATTTATTCAAGCCCTAAACATGCAGTTAAAAATATGTGGCTGGCATGTTTAACAAGTTCAAGTTAATACAGTTTTATGTTGATATCTTTTAAAAAATATATAATGAACATTAAAAATATAAGGCCAGCATAGGCCAAAAAAAAAATAGCATTACTAACTATAGCATAACAATGTCTTTTTTTAACAGAAGCACATCCCAGAGTATCTAAGTCACCATGATAAACTAAAGGTATGTATATTTTTATGTTGACAATGTAAAAATATCTTCAATATTAAAGAGGAAGACCAATTTAGCTTTATTAGTGTTGGAGGAAGACTACATGATTTGTTATGTGGTTGTTAATAACGGTAATGATATTTATCTCATACGTGTTGGGGATACAGCCCATTAGATAAACTTATGCTTTATCAATGGGTGGATGCTTTATCAATAGTACTTCTGGTTTTGACACGATCCCTCGCTTCAAGATTTTATTTTATTGAAACTTTCAATTGTGAAAAGTATTGCTCTAAGAAAATGAATGATAAAGAGCGATAATATCGTTAAAAGCAAGAAAAAGACTTGTATATGTCAAAGAAGTGTCTTATTTTATCAAGAAACCTGTATTTGCTACTTGAAGACACCCCCTCCTTTAAATCGTTTGTGGAGAAAGTAAAGCCTAGCAGTTAAGTTGTTGTATAAGATTCCTTTGACATCTTCAATAATGCTTTAATGCTTTCTTATATTATACTACGTATGCCTACCTTAATATAGGTGTAACTTACCATGGATCAACAATGAATCTACAAGTAGGCCCCTAGCTTTGCCTAACACATTTTGTACTGCCATCGTACAAAGAGTTCATTTTCATGATCCCATGGTCCTTACAACTTTCAGTCAGAAGTTTGTTTGATGTAAAGCTCCAGCAATATTATTGTCACATAATGTTTTCAAAGACGCAGATAGCAACAATTCTCAATTTTGAACACGAAGTTACATGATCTACTTTCTTTCGAGGCATGTCAACATCAACGGTGATATGTCATCAAGTTCTACGTCATCAATTTGAATTAGCAATCATTCATGTAGTTTCACAGGGGAAGTCTCAAAGTTTTGTTAAAACGAAAGTCGTATGAGATAAATAGAACATTGATAATTGTGTGATTTGATATTGGCTTTATCTAACTCGTTGAAATGGTGTATATTCGCTCAGCAAGCCTCTTGAATATACACACTATTTCAACTCATTGGATAATGCCAATATCAAATCACACAATATAGATATCCTCTATATATCTATGGAAGCCTATGATATGTTTTGTTGTGTAGCTGTTAATGTTAAATCTATTGTTTTTTATGAGGAAGGCTTTGATAGGATTTGTTGTTTTTTAGGAGGAAGGCTATGATATGACTTGTTATTTTGTAGGAGGAAGGCTATGATATTTGTTGTTTCATAGGAGGAAGGCTATGATATAATTTGTTGTTTTGTATGAGAAATGTTATGATATAATTTGTTGTTTTGTAGGAAGAATGATATGATTTGTTGTTTTGTAGGAGGAATGCTATGATATGATTTGTTATTTTGTAGGAGGAAGGCTATGATATTTGTTGTTTCATAGGAGGAAGGCTATGATATAATTTGTTGTTTTGTAGGTGCAAGGTTGTGATATGATTTATTGTTTGTAGGAGGAGAGCTATGATATGATTTGTTGTTTTGTAGGAGGAATGATATGATTTGTTGTTTTGTAGGAGGAATGATGTGATATGTTTTGTTGTTTTTGTAGGAGGAGGGGCATGATATTTATTGTTTTATAGGAAGAAGGCTATGATATGATTTGTTGTTTTGTAGGAGGAATGCTATGATATAATTTGTTGTTTTCTATGAGAAATGTTATGATATAATTTGTTGTTTTGTAGGAGGAGGGCCATGATATAATTTGTTGTTTTGTAGGAGCAAGGCTGTGATATGATTTATTGTTTTGTAGGAGGAGGGCTATGATATGATTTGTTGTTTTGTAGGAGGAATGCTATGATATGTTTTGTTGTTTTTTAGGATGAGGGCTATGATATAATTTGTTTTGTAGGAGGAGAGCTATGATATGATTTGTTGTTTTGTAGGGGAGGGTTATGATATTTATTGTTTTGTAGGAGGAATGCTGTGATATGATTTGTTGTTTTGTAGGGGGGGGGCTATGATATGATTTGTTGTTTTGTAGGAGGAATGATATGATATGATTTGTTGTTTTTGTAGGAGGAGGGGCATGATATTTATTGTTTTATAGGAAGAAGGCTATGATATGATTTGTTGTTTTGTAAGAGGAATGCTATATGATTTGTTGTTTTGTAGAAGGAAAATTATATGATTTGTTGTTTTGTAGGATGAGGGCTATGAAATGATTCTTTGTTTTGTAGGAGGAGGGCTATGATATGATTTGTTGTGTGGCTGTCAATGATCCATTTGTTATGTCAGCCTGGGCAGACAAATTAAAGACCAGAGGAAAGGTATGAATACTCTGTCATTGTTTATCATATGATAATCAGGCAGTATTTAACAATAGTATTATAATATCTGTTGTTGTAAATATGTGAATTTACAATGTGTTGATAATTATGTAAGTCTGTTGATAAATTTTGTGTCGGAATAGAAAGGGTGTCGGATTCACATTATAAAAAAAAACATGGAAAATACTATAATGGGAAAGAAATTTAGCGTCGGAATTCAAAGAGTGATGGATTGCACAGGTGTTGGATTAGACAGTTTTCACTGTATTAGTGTATCTTTTTGTAGATAAGAATGCTGGCAGATCCTCAAGGCAAATTCACAAAAGCTATGAAAATGGACCTGGATTGTACAAAGTTACTTGGAAATATCAGGTCTAAAAGGTAGAACATGATTGTATAGGTCAAAAACTGATTGGTTTGATAAAAAAAGAGCTTAAATGTGCATCAAATTAAATCAAAGCAGTGACTTTTTACAGGAAAAATCTATTTTTGACTTACTTAAGAAAAAGCAAGTGAAAGTACCGGTAAACCGAAGCTTACTGCAATTTGAAGTAACGAACATTTGTATTGCATTGTACTTGTACAATTCTCAAATACATGTACTTGAAATGTGTTAATTTAGCCATTATAATTTGATTATTTAGGTATGCTCTTGTGATAGAGGACAGTATCATTAAAAGTATCAATACAGAACCAGATCACACAGGACTGGCTTGTTTACTCTGCATCAGAAACTTTAAATCGGCTAAATCTGTGGACGCCACATGATTTTCCAAAGTAACGTGTGTGAAGTGATTAAGAACGGAATGTGTGTGCTTAGCTGAGTGTTTATATGTTGTTCAAATGGGAGAGTTTGGCTTGAATCTATAACAATGCTAACAACCTTTATTTAATTATTGGTCATCTAGATGTAAGTACACTACAGTGTGTATGTAATGTATGACAGTTTTTCTGAAAATAGTATGTGTGTAATTGTTTGTAAATCAATTTATGCTGTGTATAGTAATACATGTGTCTTTGTTTTATGAATGTAGATTTTGTAAGACAATAAAAATGTTAATTTGATCAGAGATAGAAAGACAAATTTATTTAATGAATGCATTTAATAGCTATCCAATTTATGACATGATTTTGGACAGGCAATATTTTATAAACTTGGATGCAGTTCATAACATGTATTAAATTAAAATCCACTTGTGTGTCAACTTCAAATTCTCTTTCCTGTTCCCATACTGAGGGAAGAATTTCAGTTGGTTAGGTTTCATATTAATGTAGGTTTCACATTGGTATCGCTGAGAATTGATCCCAGTGCCATCACCATGGTAGTCAGACACTCATCTCACTATATGCTATATAAGGTGATATCAATGAAGATCGAGCATTAAATAACTTCATAAAACTCTCCTCGCCTTACACTCTCTACGTATACTAGTATAAATGTATATTTACATCATGTAAAGGTGGAATACTATAAGGAGGGAAGAATGTAGAAGAAGGGTTTTACAAACCGTGGGTAGCTCAGTGGTTAGAACACCTGACAAGTGATGCAGGGGTCCCATTTTTGATACATGGTCCAGCCATATGTTTTTTCAGGCATTTCTCCTTTCCTTCTATACTAGAAAAGAAATAATTCCTTAGTACAAGTATTGTAGTCCCTTGTGAAACAAACAACGAATCAGAAGGTGGGGGACTTAAATTTACACTACTTTAAGATGCTTCCATATCAATATTACAGTTCTAAACAAGGCTTCGCTTTTCTCGAACAGAAGAGCATCTGTTGTGCCCCCAACCTCTGGGGTGTCTGAATTTTTTCAAAAATGTGTTTCTACAAAGCCTAAAGGTTGCTTCGGTATAAATATGACTAATATAATTAATGGCAGTAATTTAACACCAATTTATTTTCTTGTTCGTCAGACATCTCATGAAAAAAGTGGTACATGTAATGGGTAATTGATTAACAATAATATTATTACTTTATTGAAGGCAAATTTTTTAGGTGGAAAATGAAAAAATTTGAGTGGACATGCAATTATGATTTTTCTATTTTTTTCTGATTTGTAGAGTTAGCAAATGTAAATTAAAATAGGAAAAATAGAGTAGAATTAAAACATAAGTTAGCACATTTTCTGGGTGCTTGAAATTCAAAATTATAGTTTTGTTATAATACGAGCGCGCGGGTCCGACGAGCAAAAAATTAAATTGCTGTGGCCTCATCAGTTCAGTATTATATCAACATTTCAGATGTGCAATTGTACAAACGGTTTTTAAATTTGTTCAAAATATTTTTTTAATTGCTCAACGATTTCAAAATAATTCTAATAAAAGATGAGTCTAAAACAATTTTAAAAATCGTACAAACGTTTTTTTTTTATTTTCTGCAAAAAATCTAGCATCGGGATCGATATTCAGAAAATGATTAACATCAAAACATGGCAAGTGAAAGTAACAGTCACGGTGATGACTGTGACAGAATAAATTTAGTTAAAATTCCTCCGGAACGGATTGGACATGTAGCAGTATGTTCAAATAAATACATGTTAGTATGGGGAGGATACAATGTAAGTGTTTCACTTAATTATTGATGTGATGGAGTCAGGGAATCAAACAAACACGTACACTTATTTTACTTTTTCCACTAGTCCACATACCACATCTTACTTGTATCTGGGAAACAAATACATTTTCTTTATTCTATATATCATTATGTAGTGGTTTTTGCTATATGGACTGTTGATCCATGTTAGAATTCAAGAACATAAAAAAATCAACATATTTTCTCAATTTATACCACTGTGTCGGCACTTGATTCTATAAGTGTAATACATGTAATTATGAAAGCCGGATAGGTTCATTTTTGAAAAGAAAAAAGTATTTAATTCGTTATAACGAGTTAGTAATCTCGTTATAACGAGTGGTACATGTTATAACGAGTTGATTAACGTTATAACGATTATTAATTCGTTATAACGACTTAATTATCTCGTTATAACGAGTTTTATCTCGTTATAACGACTTAGTTATCTCGTTATAACGCGTTAATTAACTCGTTATAACGATTGCTACATTCGTTATAACGAATTAGCAAATCCGTTATAACGGTCATGGGACTATCCCGTTATAACGAAATGATAAGTTTCCCCTTTATTTCCAAATTTAAAAGCAATATGGGAATTAAAAATGGATGTAGTTTTAATGCCATTGGGCCTCTCGTACGTAACTTTAAAATTGATAAATTAATTTGCAAATTTAATTTGCGATATGGTTTGAATAATATTAATTCTGAACTATCTGGCTGTCGATAATCACATTTTGATAAGTACAGCAATCTGTATTTGAAAACATTTACATATTTATTCGGAACGTGTCAAAGGACATAAATTAAAAAATTATATTTAAAATGTAGTGTTACAAAGTTTGGCAATATAATTTTGACAACTTTCTCACGATAAAAGACACTACTTTTTAAATATGTTTTGGATGACTTATGAGCTTTCATTTAATCAATTTACATTTGCATTAATGCAACATATATTATATACACAAAAATTTTTTGAAGAAGGGGGATATGGAGACATTTCAGCAGTTAGATCATGGGATTAAAAATAGGGGTACTGCCAACACAACATAAAAACAGTCATAAGTTTCGGTATTTTTATTTTTTATCTTTTGTAAACAATACAAATCAACTGCATCGATTTATACAAAATGACTAACATCAAAACAGGAACAACCCCTCGAAAAACAAAAAAACCTAGTTTGCTGTTTTAAACAAAATCTTTATCATACACACTTTAAACAACCTTGATCGAACGGTATTATATGTACTTCCTATCATTTAGATATAAACTTTACATGTTTAATAGTTATGGGGAGGATACAATGTAAGTCGTTATAACGAGAAAAATTAACTCGTTATAACGAAATAACTAAGTCGTTATAACGAGTTAAGGGTATAAACAAACACTTCTTATTAATTTTTCGTTATAAGTCCACATACAAATCTTACTCGTTATATCTGGGCAACAAATACATTTTCTTTATTCTATATGTCATGTATGTAGTGGTTATTGCTATATGGACTGTGGATAACGTGATACTAACTCATTATAACATAAAAAAATCGTTATAACATACTTAACTCATTATATATACTAACTCGTTATAACGAGCAATTGAACTCGTTATAACGAGTTAAATTTTTAACCCATGGTGTAATACATGTACATGTAATAACACAAGATATCCAACTTTGAATTACACAGATTACCCCTATCTCATATATGTTTGTGTAGATAAATTATCGTAGAAGACAACGGTAATAAACAGTTTACCCTTGCATTTCCTCTGAAAGTCACCCGCGTGGCACAGTGGTTAGAACGTCTGCTCTAGAGTAAGGAATTAATTCTTACGTTGTTGAAGGTTTGAATCCCTCTGTTTGGACATGCATGGAGACCGGTCCTTCAGATGAGACTGTATAAACTGAGTTCTCATGTCACTGTAGGTGTTTGCATGAAAAAGATCCCTCAATGAATAATTCTCCATATGAGTGAAAAATTCTCGAGAGGGACGTTAAGCAACATACAAACAAACAAACATCATCTAAACGTGTATATTGTGCGATTATGGGCAGGGGGTACTCCACGTAATTCAGAGTTGGATACCTTGTGTTATTATTAAACTTTGGGATAAAAATTTATTACAGAATTAAATGCCAGATGTAATTTATAAGCAATTCTCTGTAACATTAAGTACCATTAGTTTAGACTTAGTTAGCACTGGCAGACCACTTACAGGTTTTTCAAAAGTTTTTTCCCATGTGATGATTAATGCTTTAGATATTTTTTCAACTATTTTAATCATGTAAATAAGAAATGAAAAGGCATAGTAATTTTGAGGAACTTTCTCAGTGTTGGTTTTGATGTAACAGTGTTATTAACATGCTCTGTGGTGAACAAAATATGTTGCTTTTAAAATTGGCAAACACAAGTTCCATTTAATCATCATGAAATGAAACTTCACACATGGACAAAATTTATGTTTTTGCATTGAATGAAAATGTGTTGATCTTTATTCTTGTATTAATAATAATATGATGAGGAACATTGTCTAAATATTTTTTGAATGACCCTCTTAAATCTTATGAAAAATAACATTGTGAGGTGGACATAAATTCAGAGGTCTTCTTTTCTTATGAAGGATGATTTTAATCCTCCCTACACAGAAAAATATCTACCAGCAAATGAATTGTGGATTTACAATACAGAATTTAAAGTTTGGTAAGTATTTAAAAAAATTGTTTATTCACAACACAAATAGATATTATATGAAATATTACATGAAATATTATATGAAATACTCATTTTTATGCCCCCCTTCGAAGAAGGGAGGGCAAATTGCTTTGCTGCTGTCTGTTGGTCTGTAGGTCCACTTAGTTTCTGTTCATTTTCTTCACAACCATTGCACATACTGAAATGAAATTTAATATACAGATTTATCAGATGAATATCTAGGTAAAGTTTTGTTTTGGGTACGATCACGCCACTTTTGACAGAGATATGCCCCTTGGACTTAGAAAAATTCCAATTATTAGCAGTTTCCGTTCATTTTCTTTGCAGAAGTTGCACATACTGAAATAAAACTTAGTATACAGATTTATCAGATAAATATCTAGGTCAAGTTTTGTTTTGGGTACGATTGCGCCATTTTGGACAGAATTATGCCCCTTGGACTTAGAAAAATTCCAATTATTTGCAGTTTCTGTTCATTTTCTTTGCAGAGATTGCACATACTGAAATGAATTTGGTATTCTGATACATGTTATAATAAAATCGGTCAAGTGAACTAGTGTTGAACTTTCATGTAACTTGAAGATTTATGTGTCCAATTAATATCTGAATTATTTTGACATATGTATTATACATGCCGTACTCGGTTATAACAAAGTCGCTGGAACCTATGAAATTTCTTCGCTATAACCCATCCATTAAAGTTTATATAGCTGGGGATCCAAGATGAATTCGCTATATCCGTGAATTCGCAATAACCGAGTTTTACTGTATGTACACTAAAACTCGGTCATAACAAAGTCCTACAAACCTTAACCCGTGAATTTACTTCTTTACCATGGGGTACTTAAGTTTTTATATTTGCTAACCAAGGGTGAAAAGAGAACAGGAGCAGGTTGTCACCCCTGGCTTGCAAGGATTTGAAGTTTTCTGATGAATTGAATTTTAATATTTTGTAAAGTTATTATATCAGAATTTGTTATGATAAAAAATAGTACAAGAACTTGTTAAGAATTTTGTAGGGAGTCCCCCCAAAAATTGCTACATTTCACTCATTTTATATACATGTATTTTGCTTTATCCTTGTTCATAGTAATTTCATACTGAACAAGTTTTACTAAATGTATCTGTAGTATTATTCCCTTGAATCCTAATCTCAGTAATCTTTTTATAGGTATTATGAGAGATGTAATGTCCATCCTGTTGCGGCCTCTGGATCCACAGTCTGTTTAGGGGATGGGTTTATGTACCTGTTTGGTGGCCATGCTCACTATGGTAACGTCAATGATCTGTATCGATTAGATCTGAGCACATTACAGTGGGAAAAAATGATGCCTCAGGAGAAACATGAAAAAATGACACCCAGTCCCCGAGACAAAGCAGTATCCTGGTACTATAGAAAAAAGTTAGTATTGTGGTGTACAAGATTAACCAAATAGTTTAGTACTTTGAGAGAAAGTTTGTGGAAGTGCAGATTATTGCATAGAAGTACTAGTACTCAAAGAACACATTTAAATGAAGCATAAAAAATAGCCGTGAAATACTTAATAAGAGAGAGTGATTGTTTAATAAATTGAAAGTTTAAGGTTCATTGACCCTCTGAGAAGAGAGATAACTCTAACATGGTTAAATTATTACTAATTGCCAAGTTAATTTTTTTTTCACATTTTGCCCTGCAATATATGTTGAAATTATGTGTATATCAGTTATAAACTGGATTTTGTTTTGGAAATGGTAAGTAATAAAGCAAAATTTAATATGAGTGAACAGATAGTTGATGAACCTAAAATAGTAAAATGAAGTATTAAATATACATATCTATAACAGGCACGTAGCATCGATTGGTGTGGGGTGGCCAGCCACTGAAATTTTTTTTTTACTTACCTGAAAAAGTTGACAAGCAAAGTAAAAAAAAAAAAAAAAAAATAAAGGAAAATTGCCAAAGTCAAAAATCCTATTTCGGGCAAACCTTTTTCACTACCAATTCCTTTCAATATCCATTTTTTAAGCTTACAATACTATATTTCCTTCATATTACTTTACTTTAGTATAAAGTGGGGGGGCCAACCAGCCTTTCAATGAACATTTTCAATAGTAAAAGTAATGTTGGCAAAAAAAGTGGGGGGGCCAGGCCACCTGGCCCCCCTGTTTGCTACGTCCCTGTATAATAAAAGTAAATTGACATTTATTATTGATATTACTCTGTGATGAAAGCTGCTCATATACAGGTATACATTTATAGAGAATAATGCATACTTTTTGCATATTTAACAGACTGAGACAACCAATAATAGCCAGACTCACATCAAAGACCCAAGGGCTAATATAGGTTAAGGGCTGATATAGGTCAAGGGCCCTTGGACTTAAATGATGAATAAAAATGCAAGTTCTTTTAAAAAATGTTACAGAAGAAACCTAGAGACTTGTTCAATTTGTTTGATATTTTAGGTTTTATACATTTGGAGGGTTTGGCGTCCCTACACAGGGATATATGGGAGATGGCAAGTCTTTCTTTCAAGATGAAATTCCAGAACAGGTATATATTGATTGTCTTCAAAAAATCTAATTGTATACCACAGGCATTTATTTACACAAATCTTTGTAAAAAAGGGTTTATTTTTAATAAGTTATTCCCCATTGAATGTTGGAGGTACACAAATCTTTGTAATAGCCCAAAGTGGGCTATGTTTATTTTTATCAGATTTGTTGTCAAATTTGTGTGTAAATATTGACTATTTTTCTTCGACTATCTGATTCTAATGTAGTTACATATGTATACTGTTTTGGACTATCTGATTCTAAAGTAGTTATAGCTGTTTTGGACTATCTGATTCTAAAGTAGTTATAGCTGTTTTGGACTACCTGATTCTAAAGTAGATATAGCTGTTTTGGAGTATCTGATTCTAATGTATTTATAGCTGTTTTAATGATTTCCTTTTATCAGAGAGGCTGGAACAATCAGCTGTGTGTTTTTGATGTGACTACAATGGAGTGGAACATTCCAGACTGCATGGCAAGTTTCTAGAATAAATCCAGATCCCGGTGCTTTTTTTGAGTCCATTTATATGAAAAGGAATACTGGCATTTATAATGAAACATTGTAAAAACTTATATCAATTTCAAAGTCTGTGGGAAAACCATCTCATGGACCAGTGTCAGAAAAGTCACTTAAGTTGCGTGGTGGATTCTAAATCATTATTCCATACTCCCTTAATGCAGATTAAAAACAGAGGAAATTGAGGGGGATTGAGGTTAAAGTCAATTACATGTATAAATAGAGATTGCTGGATGTATAAGCTTGCTATGGCTGATTTGACTGTATATGTTACAAGTAAATTGATCTTATTAGTCACTAAGAGTAAGAACAGTTGACAGTTGGGGTAGATCATAAACCCTTTGCTAGCAAAGATGCTTTATGAGTTTTGCTTCATTACAGGGACCAAAGCCCTCTGCCCGAGCTGCCCATACAGCAGTGAGGTTTGGTAACAAGGTTTACATCTTTGGAGGACGACATTTAAATCTCAGGCTTAATGACGTCCATTGCCTTGATCTGAACTCACTGTCATGGAGTGGGAGGTAAGGAGGTCAGAATCAGTTGTCTGAACTCACTGTCATAAAGTGAAAGGAAAGTAGGTCAGACTCACCTGTCAATCACTCTCATGGAGTGGAAGGTTACGTAGGTCAGACTCAACTGTCTGATATAAATACATGTGAAAGATGTGAGGTTTTGTGCCTCTGCACTGTTGTTAATTTTAGAATTTGCTCTTTCATTTGGTGTTTTGATGACTGCATTATTTACAATTTAAGGTTATTAATTGATGGCTGCCAACCCGAGGGCAGGTCCTGGCACACTGCTGTAGGTCTATCTGACAACAGAATGTTTGTGTATGGTGGCTTCACCACTGACTGCCAGCCCCTTAGTGAGTACTACTGTTTGAATTTACTAAATCTTTGATTATGGGGGCATAAAAAGAAAAGAAGTACTGGTATTATACACTGTATAATGATGGTTAATGTAAGACACAGTTCTTTTTACATGTACCGGTAGTCCATGGATTTGTTTTCTCTGCATAAATCATCAATCTAAAGTACTACATAAACATTTTGTTGTTTTATAATCATGTGGGTAACCAATTTCTTTCAGTACTACTACATGGTAACTTGTCACTAAAAATATTGTATAATATTTAAAAGGTCCTTGGAAATGCCCAAATGACATGCACATCTTAAGAGTCTGAAATGAACAAGAGGCCCATGGGCCTTATAGGTCACCTGAGCATTATGCAACAACTTTCCAGTGATTTAATTTGATTCATGTTTTAAGCCAGATGCTATGGCGTTCACAATTTTGAAAGAGGCACCATTGATCATCATAACAATACACTAAGCAGATGCTTAGTTTGTTTACTTAATACCCATAGGCAGGGTGGGGGAACAAAAAATGCATTTCAAGTAATCAGTAATATTCAACAATAATCAGTAATGTCCCTATCACACATGAACCCCTGACCCTTAGGCCTAGATCCACACATTGCACAATGTTTGGAAAGGCACCCTTGCTTTTCAAAAATATTTGATTAATACCAAGGAGCAGATCTCAAACAATTCATCCAGTTTCAGTATATAAGTACCCCCCCCCCTATGGTACCCCTGACCCTGGTGCCTTGAAATTCACAATTCTGGAAGATTAGGGTTCTTGCTCATCAAACCCACATAGGTAGTTCATCTGCTTAATACCCAAAAGCTGAGAAGAAAATTTTCAAAGATTTAATGTATTTTCACTTTATAATCAATAGAGCCCCGCCCTATCACTAGAACCCCTGACCCTAGGGCCATAAAATCAAAATTTTGGAGGAGGTATTCTTGCTCATCATAACTATGTACTTAGTTTATTTAATTCCTAGGAGCAGAAAAGAAATTTTTTCAAAGAATTCAGGTATTTTCATTATATAATCAATAGAGCCCCGCCCTAACAAACCCTGACCCTGGGGCCATAAAATTCACAATTTTGGAGGCACTCTTGCACATCATAACTATGCACTTAGTTAGTTTATTTAATACCCAGGAGCAGAGAAGATTTTCAAAGAATTCATGTATTTTCACTATATAATCTATAGAGCCCCACCCTAACACCAGAACCCCTGACCCTGGGGCCATAAAATTCAGAATTTTGGTAGAGGTACTCTTGCTCATCATAACTATGCACTTAGTTAGTTTATTTAATACCCAGGAGCAGAGAAGAAGATTTTCAAAGAATTCATGTATTTTCACTATATAATCTATAGAGCCCCGGTAACCAATTCCTAGGGCCATAAAATTCACAATTTTGGTAGAGGCACTCTTGCTCATCATAACTATGCACTTAATTAGTTTTTTTAATTCCCAGGAGCAGAGAAGAAGATTTTCAAAGAATTCATGAATTTTCACTATATAATCTATAGAGCCCCGCCCTAACACCAGAACCCCTGACCCTGGGGCCATAAAATTTACAATTTTGGTAGAGGCACTCTTGTTCATCATAACTATATACTTAGTTAGTTTATTTAATACCCAGGAGCAGAGAAGAAGATTTTCAAAGAAATAATGCATTTTCACTATAATTTAGCCCCGCCCTAGCAATAGAACCCCTGACCCCAGGGCCATGAATTTCACAATTTTGGTAGAGGACTCAATGCTGATTACAATAATGCAAACAGTTTGACTGCTTGATGTCCAGGAGTAAAGAAGAAGATTTTTAAAGATTGCATTAATTTTAGTGGTTTTTGCCCCACCCCCCAGGCCCCAGGGGGGCAGGGACCATGAAATTCACAATTTTTGTTCCCCTTCATCCATAGATGCTTTGTGCCAAATTTGGTTGAAATTGGTTCAGTGGTTGCAGAGAAGAAGCTGAAAATGTTCAAATGTTAACGGACAACGCACAACGCACGACGACGGACGAAAACAGATAGCAATAGGTCACCTGAGTTTACTCAGGTGACCTAATAAAACATTACAAATTTTAATGCATGTACATGTGTTTTCTTTTAATGGAACTTTGATAATGCCCTCAAGCTTTACCCCCCTCCCCATTTAGATGTTGGGGTCATAACCCAATATTGCACTTTTGGGAGATTTGCAGGTATTCGTTTCAGTAAAGTACATGTACAATAACATTTGGTTATGAATTTTCAAAGTCTGTATACAGTGTAACTTAAATAAGACTGGATACAATTTCTTTTCATTTTAACATGCAGGTGATTCATGGATTCTAAATATCAGCAGCCTACAGTGGACTCAGTTAACATATTTCCCTCAGACCCATTGTCGTCTCTGGCACACTGCATGTGTGACACAGGATCAAGATGTCCTGATCTACGGGGGATGTGAAAAGAACATACTGGACTATGACACTATATGTGTGAGTATCTGTTGTTTGAAAGTCACGAACATTACAGTGTGTGTACCAGTGTATGGAAGGGAATTACCTCCAAAAGTCTATTTATCTTGCTTATTCTGCCTACTTCTTTATTCTTCGTTATTATTGCAACTATATGTCACTTAATTGTTTTCATATTCATCTTTATTACATTTCACTCTGAACTTTTTTCATTCTTTATTTTGTCCTTACTTATAAGTAGGCAGAATAAGAATAAAAGCAAAATAAATAGACTGTTGGCAATAAAATTCTTCCATACCAGTATGAGCCACGTGTATTTGATTTGTTCTTTTAAATTCCATAATTTTCAAAGATCATTTTACTATCTTTTGTGTACAGGAGATTAAGAATGACATTTTAGAATTCCAGTTTGAACCATACACACTGAAAAAGTAAGTACATGTTACACATGCATTTGATTTTGTATTAAATATATTTATATGTGGAAAATTCAATTCTAGACTAGTACCAGGTACATTTTATATCATTATGTCTTCATTTATGTTTTAAACTTTTTGGATTTCAACATTTAAAACTTAAAGGTGTTGACAACTATATTGATTTTGAAAATGTAGCATAATTTTGTTTGCAGGTGTAAAATGAGCAACAACAAAAATAACTCTGTATACAATAATTTATAAACTTTCATTAAAAGAGCATAAGTTATTCACCAAATTGTGTATTTAAAAAAAAACTTTAAATTTACATTTCAGGCTGTGTATGGAATGTGTTTACAGATTGCGTGTCCGATTAGGAAGTCAGTGGGATTCCCTACCGCGACCCATTTCTGATTGGTTACATAAAAAAGAGACTCTCGACATCCAGTTACTGATGTCATCAGATTCGGACTCACATTGTTCAATAGATATTTACTAGCACATAGACTGTTTTTATGAACAAATTAACATTTTAAATGGGACATTATCATGTACAGTAAAACATGCTTATAGTGAACATACTTATAATGAGTTGATGTTTATTGTGAAGTGATTTACATTACCCTTGAGTTTAAAATATAGTGAATTTTTATACAGATATAACAAAGTATGCTTATATAATGAAACAAAATTGTCTGTCCCGTTTGCACTTCGTTATGTAACAGGAGAGGAGAAAGTGCAGTGGAGCAGACCGGGATTCGAACCCGGGCCCCCTAAAACTCAGGTCAGGTGCTCTACCAACTGAGCTATCAGCCCGGTCGAACCCGGCTGACCACCACAGTTATAAGTATGTTTTACTGTATTTGCACTATTTGTAATGTACTTGTTTAGAGACATTATATACATTTATTTATTTCTACGTTAAATCAGTGAAATATGCTTAACTCTCACAAATATCTTTTTTTAGCTGGTTTGTTTAAAAATTCATAAAATTTGTTAAATGTAAAGATTATCAGGCTCTGCACCATCCATTGATATTGTGAAACATCAAACTGTCTTGAGCAAGTCACTTTTGATGATTAATAAAAAAAAAATAAGATTATTTTTTTATCACTCAAAAGGGAATCTGTATAGTATACATGAACATGTAAAGTGTAAGTTGTTGAGAGCATATAGATTTTTAAACTGCCATCATTTCAGTCCATTCGAAATTCAGTTTGTTTTGCTCATATGTCAATATTTCATAGCGATATTTGAAAAAGAGGAGTTCATACTGATTGTTTTATGCAAATAAATGATCTTTTAATTGTATCTATATGTACTTATGACCCTGGCTAGTTTAGATCTTGAATAATGAGTTTTTGGTTCACCTCAGCCAGAGGCTCAAATGATCTTTTTTGATCAAAATTTTTCTATTGGCTGTCTTTTCACAGTTTCTTCCTCTACAGAACCATTGAGACAGTTTTAACCACACTTGGCATATAGTAGCCCTGGATAAAGGGAATTAAAGTTCATTCAACAGAAGGATATTTAACAGGAGATGTTTCTTACCTGAGGATGCTTCCACAGAAGTTTTATCTTTCCTGGTCCAGAGGTTCTTGAGAAGATTTTGAAAGATTTTCCCTGTATATTCCTTTGTAAAACTGATTTTCCGTAGTGGCCCCATCCTCAGGGGGTCATGTTTTGAACAAACTTGATTCTAATCTGCCTGAGGGTGTTTCCACACAAGTTTTATCTTTCCTGGCCCAGTGATTCTTAAGATTTTTAAAAGACATTTCCTGTGTATTTCTATGTTAAGGACGTTCGATCCTGATATTTTGAGCGTATTTTGGTCAGGTCCTTTAGTCATAAAATTCTGCATCATTTTTTAAGCTCTAACATTAAATCTGAATTCTACAATGCAAATTGAACTATATTCATTGAAAAAACCCCGATTAAATTCCATTCAAGTAGAATTAAGCTGGGGACTATATTTTGTGGCGGAAGGTTTTTTAGACGAAAATGATCAGTTTTTTTCCATTTTGAACTATAACAGTACTGTTAAATTTGGATTCCTATTTTTCCATGCTGGTTGCACACAAAAGTTGTTTTTGGCAGTGAATTGTGTTATGCTGGTTCTGAAATATCTATTTAATTATTTCTTATGAATTCTATCAACAAAGTTTGACAAATATAGTAAATGTATTCTGAAAATCCGGGGAAAAATTAAGCCAATTTTAACGTAAAATTGACAATTTTTTAGTAATATCTAAAAATTTACATCATATACCCCCACTTTTGATATTCTTTTCTTAATATTCAAGATAACTTTGACCTATTTGCTTAAAATCAGAAAAAGTTTAAGACTTTAAAATAATTTTCTTGCTTATTAGATTTTAAATACCCAAAAAATCACATTTTATTAGTGCAGAAAGGTCAAATAATTGATTATGCGAAGTAATTTGAAACTTTTTCTTAGTCACAATTTTAAAGTGTCTTTTTTAAAATAAACTTAGAGTTCATTTTGTTTCATGCTTTAATTGGATAGAAATATTGGCGGGAAAACGTCGAAGATGTCATTTTTAATTAATACACAAATTTCAGTGCAAAAAGGTCAAATTAAATGTACTGTAGCGCCAAAAGAAGCATATTGACCCCCATTTTTTGATTTGAATTTTAATTAAGCTATGTATGAAGAAACTAAAAATATACTTGGCAGAAAAAGTTTAAGACTTTAAATATCAGGATCGAACGTCGTTAACTTGAATGTACAATACCTGAGAATGCTTCCATATGAGTTTCATCTTTCCTGGCCCAGTGGTTCTTGAGAAGAAAATTTAAATGATGTCATTAATTTTTCACTAATTCATAATTATCTCCCTTTGGAAGAGGGCATGACCCTTCATTTGAACAGATTTGAATCCCCTTCACCTAACGATACTTTATGGCAAATATTGTTGAAATTGGTCCAGTTGTTCTTATTAAGAAGAAGATGAAAATGTGAAAAGTCTACTACGACAGACAACAGACAAAGTTTGATCAGAAAAGCTCACTTGAGCCTTCGGTTCAGGTAAGCTAAAAAAAGGGGGGGGGGGGGTAGTGTCCAAACGTGAAAATCCTATTTCGTGGTGGTGGGTGGGGGTTCGAACTTCCAACTTCTTTCAACAAGAAGTGGGATGTCCCGGGCCAGACTTTGAATGTACATTTTCTAAAATATTATGTCCCCCGATACTACGTGCCTGATATTCGTACAAAATGATATGGAAACAATCACAGGATGTGTGGATTCAAAGTATTTATTACACACTTCGTAATAAATACAGGTTTTTTGCATATGCGATATGGCTGACGTCACAATAGCCGTATCAACCCTGCAGGGCTGATATGGATTTGCGGGGCTGATATCCGTATCAGCCCTGCAAATCCATATCAGCCCTGCAGGGCTGATACGGCTATTGTGACGTCAATATTACACCCTTAGTAAATTAAACCACAATAACAGTATTTGTGATCATACACAATTTTTGGTGGGTTCATATTCTCTTAATTTTAACTTTTTGAAAATAAGGTTAATCTTTATTTACAAATACATGTAATACTATAGAATATTTTCAAATTACGGATCAAGTGCATTGAAGTAGAAGTATAAACAAATCCAAATCTTATGAGACATTAGACTATGTACATGTATGTACGAAGTCCATGCATGATTATTTACTTATTTTCTTCTCAACTGAATGTGTTCTGTATTTTATTACTAAGTATGTAATAAATATAATAAAACATACCCTTTTCCACATTACATCCTGTATCAGCCCTCGACCAATATCAGCCCTCGGGCCTTCGGCCCTCTGGCTGATATTGGTGTCTCGGGCTGATACAGGATGTGATATGGAAAAGGGTATGTATTATTCTCTATTTATTACACACTTAGTAATAAATACAGGTTTTTTGCATATGCGATATGGCTGACGTCACAATAGCCGTATCAGCCCTGCAGGCCCTGCAGGGCTGATACGGCTATTGTGACGTCAAAATCACACAAAAACAGTACTTGTGATCATACACAATTTTTGGTAGGTTCATATTCTCTTAATCTTAACTTTTTGAAAATAAGGTTATCTTAATTTACAAAAACATGTAATAGATTATTTTCAAATTACGGATCGAGTGCATTGAAATAGAAGTAGAAACAAAGTCGGAAACCCAAATCGTATGAGCGATAGACCATATACATGTATGTAAGAAGTCCATGCATAATTATTTACTTATTTTCTTCTCAACCTAATGCATGCTGTATTTTATTACTAAGTATGTAATAAACATATTAATACATACCCTTTTCCATATCACATCCTGTATCAGCCCTCGACCAATATCAGCCCTCGGGCCTTCGGCCCTCTGGCTGATATTGGTGTCTCGGGCTGATACAGGATGTGATATGGAAAAGGGTCTGTATTATTCTCTATGCAATGACCCTTTGGGACTAGGATAAGACAATCGTGTGTGGTAATGAAGGCTTTGTATAAATAATAATAGATTTCTTTAATACAAAGCCTTAATTCTGAAAAAAAAACAGGTTAAATCATCATGTGTAAACAAGCTAATTCGGAGAATTTATGTTTCATAAAAGAGAGGAGAATGCTCAGATTGGGGGGTCAACCCCCAGCCCCTCCCCGGATATGCAGAATTATTAAATGTATGTACTGAAGTAAATAAAGGACACTCGGGGCCATAGGTAGTTATGGTATAAATATTAAAAGCTTCTTCAGATTTCGCCCGGAAATGAAAGGTTTACGCACACCCATGTAATTCTGTAAATGACGTATGATAAGTATATATAGGTCTACCCCTCTATACTATAGATAATTTATAGTATAGAGGGTTAGATCTATATATACTTATCATACGTCATTCACAGAATTACATGGGGAGCGCCTATGGCACAGATAGAAAATAGGAATTAACGACCTTGCTGTTTGACCTCAGAATCAATAGGGGTCTTTCTTATGCCACAAAAAATCGTAGTATAAAGTTTCATTGCAAAAGGTCAAAGGCTTTAAGAGCTATCGCACGGAAACGAACGGGTTAATACATGTAATATAGGCGGCATAGTCTTTTGAGTTTATAAGACCTTGAACTTTGATCTTTTGGCTCAAAATCAAGAGGAGTCATACTTAGGCCATGAAGAGTTGTGTAAAGTTTCAGTGAAAAAGCTTGAAAGGTTTTCGAGATATCGCGTGGAAACCAAAGTGTTCCAGACAGACAGAACTACAGACGGACGGACGGACGAATGGACAGACCGAAATTAATATCCCCCTCTTTCAGTGGGGGACAAAGTATGAAGTATATGTATATAAAAAGTAATACCATGAACAATTTTGTTTTGCAGCAAATACATGTATGTACAGATTCTATAAATGATTACGAATGATTCTTTGAATTCTTGCATAGAATTGTTTTGTTCATTTCAATAACATACATGTATTTGAGTCCATTCTCGCAAATCCAGGCTTGTTCCGTGATCGGAAGGTTGCGAGTTCGAATCTCGGCTGTAACTGACCCAAGTCGATAAAAAATGGGTAGCAACTGTTCCTCCGTCACAGTTATGCGGTTGGCATTTTGAAATGGAAGTTGCAGATCCTTTGGATGCAGGCGCGTAGTATCGTTTTTGAAAGGGGGGGGGGGCAGCCAGAGAATTTTTTTTTTACTTACCTGAAAAAGTTGACAAGCAAAAAAAAGGGGGGGAAAGAAGTTGCCCAAAGTCGAAAATCCTATTTCAGGGGGGGGGGGGGGGGGGTGAGGTAAACTTTTTCTCAGTGTCAACTACTTTCATTACCAATTCTAATACTACATTTTCGGTACATCACTAAAAGTGGGGAGGCCAACCAGGTTTTCAATTAACTTTTCCTATAGTATAAGTAAGGTTGGTGAAAAAAAAGTGGGGGGGGGGGCAGGCCCCCATGTTGCTACGCCCCTGGGATTAGACCATAAAAACCAAGGCCCCGTGTCACGACAGACATTGGCGTGTTTAAGATCCCTCACTGCTCAATGGCCATGAGTGCCAAGTATGTAGGTCAATATTTGGAGTCTTCATCGGTATAATATAGTGACATTTGTATAAGTCTGTATGAATGAATAAAAAAGTCTTGAATGGGACGTAAAACATTCAATCAACCCATCAATCGCAAGTTAACTACTAGTACGTTTTCCAGGCTTGTAAAATATCAAAATCTTGATTAAAAAAAGGGGGGCTAGGAAAACGTAAAATATATCGGACTACAAGTGCCACAGTGGTATCCGGCAACATAGAAACAGGTAGATGGAAATATCGTTTCCCATAGGCCCATTCCTAGTAACAATGTTGAGTTTATGTCAATTGGTTTAGAGGAAAGTCCTATCTTTATATAAACCAGGCACATAGCAACAGTGGGGGCCTGCCCCCCCCCCACACTTTTTTTTCCAGACATAACCTTTACTATTGAAAATGTTCATTGAAAGGCTGCCCCCCCCCACTTTTGGCTAAATAGAGTAATGTAGTAATTATATGAAGAATGGAAGTAGAAAAAAGTTGGCCCCTACACCCCCCACCCCCCGAAATAGGATTTTTTTTGCCTGTCAACTTTTTTTCAGGTTAGCGAAATTTTTTTTTCTCTCTGCCCCCCACCCCCCCCCCTTTCAAAAAAGTTTCTACGTCACTGTAAGTAAGGTAAAAAAAACAAATAGAAAGATTTCTTTGATTTCAGTTAATCTAAACTTATCAAAAATACGCCATTATCACGCATTCTCAATTTATAGTCTCAATTCGCTTTAAATAATGTACCACGTTTTAAGTAATATAATATTTCAAATAAATTTTATTTTCTGCCACTCATATGAACCATTGTTGGTTGTTGATTAAAATGCAACAATTGTTTGTTGTAGTTTGAATGATTGTCTTAGGAGAAAATCACAGTTTATAGCAGAAATCGATATTTACGTTACTGTCGCCGATCATCGTGTAGTTTTTATTTTAAACCAAAAAGAAGTTTTAAATCATTTACATATCTTTTTCTTAGTAAGATTGTCCTACATTTGAGTTATATTTTCAGAATATCACACTCTTCACACATATGCGTGTCACAAATTTTTAAAAGTTTTAATATATTTATCAAATTTTGATGTCACCGCAGAATTATTACTTTTCTATTTGGAAATTCAAAAGGATTGGAAGGATTGATAAACTGACTCAATAGGACTAAGTTGTAACTTTTTAACATCATGAACACCCTTTCTATTGCATGGAATGGTAAAAAGGACACTCTTTATCTGTATTTATGAACAATAGCCCCCCTTTTCTTACAAGTCCAATGGTTAAAAAATTCAACGATATTTACGTGTTAGTATTTATTCACAAATTAAGTAAGAGAACTACACTGCTCCCTATGGGTCAAATTGCCTTACACTCAAGCACTAGAATATGCTTTAATTAACAGTGGAATAATTGAACAATGGCATTAAAAGTTACGATAAATCTCAGAAAGATATTTACGTTACCGATATTTACATTACCCATATTTACGTTACCATGTTTTAAAGTAAATAAGTATTAATTTCCAATGCTGTTTGAACAGATTTGCGAGTGAATCTTTATGATGTAAATACTAAGAACATGAAGAAATATACACTGTTTCTTAAAATGTCATTTTTTCTGTAATAAGAGTGCAGAAATGCAAACTGAAGTGCACATGCAAAGGTGAACATTTTTCACTCAATATCTTGTGCATCCGTGTGATTTGAAAATTGAATTGACATAATATTATTCACAAGTAGAATTGTGGTTTAATGATTGAATCTTTCCATTTTGAGCAATTGGTTAATATTGCATAGTTTCAAGTGTAATGCACGTTATCATTCGGAACGTAAATCTGAAACAAAACTTTCTTCAAGTCTGTATTTTGCTGTTTGTTTGAAATGATAGTGTATCGTCAACTTAAATAAATGGTTATATACACCTGAATTGTATACCAAGCTAAAAATTTTGAAGAAAAAAATATCATTTTTGTAGGAAATATAATTCCAGAAAATAGGCGCTGCGTTGCATGCAGTGGGGGGGGGGGGGGTATTCTACATCGGGTAAAAATAGAGGGTGTTGGGTGTCAAGAAACTGGTTGAAATTGAATCCATTTCCATTTTTGTTGCTTTGCAAGAAATACAAATATTAACATGTATAAAATTGTGCACCTAATTTTCCCATTGGAATTTTTGCTTAGACATATAACGTACGCGTCTATGTTTTAATGGTACTGAAAATTCAATTTACGTTATATGAACATAGAATGTATATTGCTCTATAGAGCACATGTGATATGCAACTTAATTATTGACAAACCTTTTAAGGGTGGTGGGGGATCTTTGTTTAATTTTTGAGATTTGACGATAAAGTTTTAACAAACAATTAAACATTTCAGACATGTAGCAACAGAAGGGGGGGGGAGCAGCCCCCCCCCCCACTTTTTTCTCCAACCTTACTTCAACTATAGTAAATGTTCAGTGAAAAGCTAATTGCCCCCCTCCCCCACTAATAGTGATGTCCGGAAAATGAAGTGTAATAATTGGTACTGAAAGTAGTTGGCATTGGAAAAAGTTCGCCTCCCCTCCCCCTCTAGGATTTTCGACTTTGTGCAAGTTTTCTCACCCCCCCTTTTTTTTTGCCTTGTCAACTTTTCAGGTAAGTAAAAAAATTCTCTGGCTGCCCCCCCCCCTTCAAAAAACGATGCTACGTGGCTGCCTTTGAAATAATCAACAGATAAAATGGTGGAAGGGGGGGGGAGGGTTATGAATTACATGAGTCCTCTATAGATAAATCATAACTTGAATTTTCAATTCAACCCTTTGTAAAGAGCGTATATATAGATAAGAAAATTCATAAAATTCAATAATTTGAAATAATATAATCATTTTTTCCCCGAATATACTTTTATTTTTGTATGATATCTATGTGCGATATTTACGTGATATTTAACAAACACTTCGTAATCAGGTAATGGCGAAATACTTAACCTTCTTATATTCTAAATAATGTGCGTTTTTTCTGAGCAGATTAATAAAGAATCAATTACTGTAGCATTTTAGGGAATATTGTCATTATTAAGCTTATCTTCGGATGTGATAAAACTTGTTAAAATAAAAGGAAAATAATTTCATTTAAATGAAAATTATATCTGTTTTATTTTTACTAATAATTGAATCAAAGATTCTACACCCCTTTTACAAATATGCTTAAACGGTTTCATAAATGATTATAGTTAACAAAATTTGATGTGTATTATATTGATTTTGTATTTAAAAAAAAATATTTCGTTTCCAAATATGGCTTTTCAACATCACGTAAATATCTTGGTGTAAAATTAGCCCTCCAACCGCTTTTATTTCGAAGGAGGCCAACAAATCACAGCATAAAGTATGTAAATCAAATTGTGATTTTTAATAACTATACACTTTCATGTTTCAAATGACGTATAAAAGTGTTAATTTCAGTTCACTAAATTTTTTGACTTTTCCCAAGATCGAATTGGTACTATAAATTGAGAATGCGTGTTATATGACTTTAACAACTTTCAAATTTAAGCCCATAAAATTCAGGATCATGATCAGGTGACCGTAAAGGCCCGTAGGCCTCTTCCTATCGAGTCAATCCGGAAACATTTTATTTTTAGTATGTGTGTTGTTATTTCCGGTGACTTGTCGACGTTGACAGGCACCTTGGATCGCTGGAAAATCTCTTGTTATTTAGTTGAATGCACGTTCATACAAATCTCATACTTCAGTCACTGGGAAAGATAAATTGCGGATATTTGGGAACAGTTTTCGGGAATCATTAATAATGGCTGTGAAAACGATAGCAGTGTTTTCTTCCCTTGTGATCGTCTTTGCGTATTTTGCAAAATTATACTTAGATAGAAGTTCGGCAGGTGCGGAGAGAATGAGCCATATTTTGTCAGGCCTGCTGAGAGCAGAAAAGAAAATAGATGCTCCAAGAACCCGTGTAGCACTGGGCTTTGGTGGCTGTGAAGACTTGATTGTAGATGGAATGTCTTTTATAAACAAGTTTAATTTAGAAGCGCCTGGAAAACCGAAACATCACGACTCCGTTGGGACAAAAGAAGAGCTTTCTGAGTTGTTTGGTTACTTTTTCCAGCATGGGGCTGCTGCAGAGTATGTCATCATTTATGAAAATTTATCAATGCATAGATCCAACACATAGCGCATAAATAGGTCTATCATTAAAATGGACCTTAGTTTTGCGATGGAATTCGATCCATGCATTGGCAATGTAGCAGTATAAACAGGGGTGATACGTTGAAGCTCTAACTCAGTGCATCTACTGTAAAGAATACAGAAAATTACAGAAAATTAACAAATCTCAACATGGAGTGTAAATTTGAAAAGAGAAAAATTATGTGTTGACAAAATGATCGAGTTGAATTTTTGTTTCTAGATGCATTATTTTTTAGTTTAAAAGGCATATAATGTACAATCTCAAATATGTTTGATTATAGGATAAGCCCTCTGCACAGCTAGACTACCTCCCATATACTCAGTACTTCCGATGCAGCAAAAAATTACAGAATGGCTCCAAAATGATTTTGAATACAAAAGAATTTGCACTAAAAATAACATTTACGTTTACATTTGGAATTCTCTGGATTGTTCTTGGTAAATGCACTGAGTACGAATTATCGTCCGTGTTTATTTTGCTACATAGTGAATACACAGAACAAATTCCATCATTAAACTGGGTCCGTAGGACATTTATCATTTTAACAATAGAACATTCTATGTAAGGTTAACTGACGTAACTCATTGTTATCCTTTTATGATATTACCTGATATACAAACTCAGGGGCTGTATTTTACAAATTAAATCAGTATGTTCATTATGTTTTGAATTCTATGATGGCATCCCCTACCATGGCAAAATTTGCCAATATAGGAATTGTACATAATTGTACTTAATAGTTTGAAGGTTTAAAATACATGTACAAGTTAGTTACAAGCAATAATGAAAGAAGACTGAATATTAATGCTAACAAAGAGACATGGCACTCATACCATGGCAATACAGAATACAGAAGAAAAATTTCATTGATAGAATATGAACTGAGTTTTTTGACAAGTTCTATTAGAAAAATCTTTGCCTTTTGTACACTGTACTACATCTGTAATTGGTCTAAAAAGTTTACACGTGTATAAATTGTGTTTATAGGAGATTTGTCAGCAACAACACACTGTTTAAGGAGCTGACTGATGCAGCCTTTTCTATGGCTGATCACAAGTCCATCTTGGGAGGAAACGCACCAGTGATGGCCAGGAGAATGGCAAACGAGGGGGCGGAGGTGCTCCTAGGGGCGAGGTTTACTAAGGAACTTAGACAAACTCTGCCTGACACAGTTAAAGGTCTGAATACCATTCATCACTCTTCTCTTTATTTTTTTTTTAATTTAGAGGAATGAGGCCATAATACATTAAATTTAAGAGATGTTGTTTTAGAAATTCTCATAATTTCGAAATGTCAATTTTATTTTCAGTCGTGGGAGAAGATTTAGATGTTAATGATATCCATTTGCTATTGGAGTATAAATCTGGAGACAAGTGGGGCAAGTTTATCTCACCAAGGGCCAACAGGTAGTCAGTTGTATAAAGAATACTATAATATTCTTGATATATTATACAATTATTGCTTTATTTTTAGCCCAGTATGATGGTTCAGCCACCTGAGGAGTACAATATTCACTGAGCCTGAAGGGTGAGGTGAATATTGTACTTCAAAGGTGGCTAAATCATCATATTGACTGAAAAATCAATGTGGAGAAAATAAATCTTTATAGTCACCTTGAGGTTCTCTTGCAGATCAATATGACATGATAGTATTTTTTTTCTACATTGTTGGATCTTAGCCAATCAGAAAGAAAGAATTTATTCAATCATAAAGTCCTTATCTTTATAAAATAAATATATAAATAAATATCACAACATAATTATATAGTCCTTATCCTTATACAAAATATTGTATAAATATCACAACATCCTTTTGTTTTTCCTGAATAACGAACATTGAAAGCATAGATAAAATGTATAAATTCTTAAAAATACACATCTATGTCAGCATTCAAAACTATTCTTCAAAATGTTTTAAAACTTCAATTGTAGATTGATTGTACACAGCGATGAAAGCAACCCTTTTATAGAAACCTTAGAAGGACTGGAGGCGGAGATCAAGACGTTCAAACCAGCGGCTTTAGTTGTGGGAGGCTTGCAGATGCTGGATAATTTTCCTTTCGAAGAAGGTGAACATTTTTCACAATTCCCTTAAAAATTTTCAGATGACATGGATATATTTACTGGTAAAGTTGTCAATAGAGGGAAAAAAAGAAGAAATTAAAAAATAAAATTATTCAGAGACATACAGTATCATCCCATCTGAAAAAAGAGAAAAAAAACGTGTTAATGTTGATGGCATGTACATCAAACTATTTGCAACATTTGCTTATCTGTCCAAATGGATCTTATGAAGTTTTTTTTTAATTTAAGGACAGATGATACAAACAAAATCTGAATGCCTGGATTGGTATATACTTTTTGACCTAATTTCATTGCAAATGATGCAGATAATAAATTTCTAGAATATAAAGAAATTGTAAACCTTCTGTGACGTTCCAAATTCTTCCCTTCTGAAGCCATCCTTATTATTCTATACAAATATTTTTCCCTCAAATTCCATTTTTGTGCAACTTTGAATAAAAACTTAAAAACTACGCAGTGAAACTTATTCATGTTATTCATTAGATCTAAAACATGTCCCAAGTTGTTATTTTCAAAATTTTTGACAAAAAATTGTTTGTATCATCTTTCCTTAACCCAAAGTTTTACAAGGGAATGTTTAGGAAAATCCCTCTCTCAAGGGCTACATGTCTGACATTTAATATTCAAGCATCTATATGAACTGTGCACATTGTCTTATTTGACAAGAATTAAAAGGTTTTGAATATTTCCTACAGGAACAAAGGCTATTTGAGTCTTTCAACCAGATTTCATTGTTACAAGTTTCAACTATTATCAGTATAATTACATTTTGTTGAAAGATTTAATTGACATACCGGCAGTTTTTAAATTGCAGGATCAAGGTTAAAAAGAATAACCAAACTAAAGAATTTGTTAGCATCAACACCAAGAAAAACAAGTATCCATTTTGAGTTGGCATCATTTACAGATGAAGAATTAATGAGAGAAATCAAAGACAATGTAGTTCTGTACTCAGATAGTCTGGGTATGAATGAGCAGGAGTTACCTAACTTGGTTAGTATTCTCACAAAGGGGAAAGTGACATTAGTGGCTGATGCCTATCCTAGAATTGCCCCAGTACTAGACCAAATGAGACAGGTTTATGATATTCTGAGTAAAACGGAGGAGGTAGACGGAAGAAGAAAAGTCTCGAGGATTCATGTCCACACACTGGCGTATCAAGCAATATTGACAAAGAAGGGAAGCCAGTGGAAAAAAACAATGCATGCCACAGCCAAAGCCTCTCTGACAGCTTTTAGACACGTCTGTAATTCTAACTACATTGACACAGAGAAGGCACGGCTCATCATGGATGATTCATTTTCCTCCAGTACATTACAGTCTGCTCAGCGAATACCACTGGAGGAGAACCGCCCAGTGTCATGCTGGGAGGAAAGAGATTATCAGATTTGTGTGGCACCTGTTCTGGTGTGTACCAAGGTGGTGCAGACAGGAGGAGGTGGAGACAACATTTCATCGGCTGGTTTACTGGTACAGGTGGAATGATTCTAATTGTGCTATGTGGAGAGGTGGAAGAAGAATTGAAATTCCAGGTGATTGTTTGAGTGCTGATACTTGTATTTATTCTTATTTACATTCTAGAATTTTAAAAAATATAACAAATTGCATTTGAATCTGCCCAAAAATTTGATAGTCATGAAAAATAACAAAGAATCACAAGGTGCATTTGTTGTAAAAATATGTATAGGTAATAAAATGAAGGCTGATAGGTGTGGAAAGGTTGCTTTTGTTTGATTCATTGAATGTTGGATTTATGATGTTGTTATGATAATATGAAGAATTTCATCTATCTAAATTGGAATCCATTAATTGTATTAACTCTACAGAGATATAAATATCTATATATTTTGTGTTTGTGAAAGTCTATGTGGTATGCTAGAAAATTTTTCAATAGTTGATGTTGTCATTATTTTTTAAGGAGATTGAATTCATTCACTTAAAGTGATTATAAACTGAGGGACCATGAAATTTAATGATTTTTTTTAAAATTCATTCTTGTGTTGGAGAACCCTTGTGATTGTTATGAACTTTCCTTGATATTCTTGTTGAGGAATTGTTATTCTATGATCTCAAATCTATCATTCTTCAGACTTAGAGGAAATTTATGCAATGTTCAGAGATAAAAATTACAATTTACAGACATTCCTGAAAGTCTTGTTTTTATTAGCTGTCATCATAATTATTATCTTATATAGAGTTTCCTCATGCTCATATTGCTGTATATTTTGATATTTTCATTTGAATTGTTTTCAGCATTTCGGTCAAGAAACTGTGTGAATTAATTTTCAGAATTCTGAAACAAAAGCTTAATAAATTGCTAGCTGCCAGCAGCACTAGGTTTATTTAATATTTAATTATTTTTTGCTTATGGTTGTAAAAGAGGAGTTGTCCACTTAAGTTTATGTAGTAGCTTTGTACTTTTGTTAAATATAAACATACAATATATTGTTTATTTTCATAGTGTAAAACAAAGCATTTCAAATTAACACTTTGTGTATTTATTATGAATAACACCTCTGCTCTTAAAAATCCTGGAACGTTTTCCCCCGAACAGATTGCAGTTTTTATCTTATGTGGAAATCACAGGTGCTTGATGTTTTTAACATTTCTTTTCATACATGTAACTGAAAAAACCCCAAATACTACAATTATTAGGTTAAATACGTCAAGCGCCTGTGATATAAAGCCAATATTGCAATAAACTGCTATAGCAATACATGTATCTTGTTTATAAGAGGTCATGATAGAGAAGAAAATCTAGTTGTAATATTTTATATGACGATCGAGGTTTTGGCCCAGAATTTTCTGTGTCCACCAATATACAGAAGAGCTCTGGAAACTTAACCTTGTTAGCAGCATCAATTAAGTTATTTAGCTATAAGAAGGGATCATTTTTATCTTTATTAATTTTTTTTGTATTCTTCAACATTACTTATGGATCAACTCTTCTTTATTCTGTCTATCTCATATGTGAAGCTTAATTAATCTACTTATTAAGAAAGACATATTTATATAGCATCAAAATATTTATATAACATCAAAATATATTCAATTGCCAATTATTTTGATTCTCTAGTTCATAATGTTTTGTTCATGATTTTATCTTTCACTAGTTAATGTAGTAGTTTGCTGTGTATACTTAGTAGATTTATATCATAAGACAATGATTGTACGTGTATGTCAACATCTGTGATAATTATTCTGAACTCTTGTCTCAGTCATACAACGTGATATACATACCAGTGACCATTGGATGAACATGTATAGTTTTTTTTTACATGCTGTATGATTTAAAAGGCAAGTTATAGGAGTATAATATCTTATTTCAATCTTACAGGCACAATCCTTATGGCAATGGAAGTTTTCTTGTAGTTGAAAAGAATGAATCCATGTGTCCTTTTACTATTATATCATATTGATCCTATTATATCCTAATTCACAATAGTTGTTGATATAATCAATATTTTTGTGTTCTGTATCTTTGATATAAAAAAATACATATACATGTATATTATTATAGAAAAATAAATCTTTAAGAAGTTTTTTGCATTGTAAATAATTGATTTTGAATCTTTTTAAAAAATAATTGTTTTATTCAGTTTAAAAGTACACATGTTTCAAAGTAACAACAATAGCAAATATTAAAGTTTTAGCAAGGAATAGATAAAAAAGTCTTCCAAAAAGTTTTTTTCTCAAGAACTGCAGAACCATGATTGGTGATATTAATATGAAAGCATCCTCAGGTATTGTAAATTCAAGTCTGTTCATATCATGACCCCATGGGGTAGGATGGGGCCATAATGGGCAATCATATTTTTACATAGACATATATTGGAAAAATATTTAAATTCTTCTTTTCAAAAAACAGCAAAGCCATTATTAATATGGAAGCATCCTTAGGAAGTGTTGATTCAACTCTGTTCAAATTATGACCCTTGGGGGTAAGGTGGGGCTATAATGGACAATCAAAGTTTTGCATAGAAATATATAGGTAAAATCTTTAAAAATATTCTCAAGAACAGCAAAGCCATGATTGGTGATATTTATGTGGAAGCATCCTCAGGAAGTAGATTGTTCAAATCAGAACTCTTGGGGGTAGGATGGGTACACAATGTGGGATCAATTTTTACATAGGAACATATACTAAAACATATACATGTATCTTTAAAAAAATTTCTGGAGAACAACAAATCCATGATAAGTGATTTTCTATATGGAACTAATGAAAGCATCTCCAGGTGGTTTTGATTCAGGTTTGTTCAAATCATGACCCTTGGGGTTAGGGTGCGGTCACAACTAGGGATCAAAACTTTACAGAGGAATATATAGGAAAAAATCTTCTTCCCCATAACAGAAAAAATTCAGCTATGTTTATTCAAATTGACATGTAAGCCTCTGCATATAGTGAAGACTCAATTTTTATGCCCGTTTGAAGAAGGGAGGGCCTATTGCTTTGCTGCTGCCTGTCGGTCGATCTTTTAATCCACCATCAGTTTCCGTTTATTTCCTTTGCAGAGATTGCATATATTGAAATGAAATTTGGTATACAGATTTATCACAAAAATATCTAGCTAAGTTAAGTTTTGGATATGATTGGGCCATTTTGGACACAGTTATGTACATTGAACTTAGAAATATACCAATAATTTGCAGTTTCCTTTCATTTTCTTCGCAGAAGTTGAACATATTGAAATGAAATTTGATATACAGATTCATCATAAGAATATCAAGGTCAAGTTCTGTTTGGTTACGATCAGCCCATTTTGGACAGAGTTATGCCCCCTTGACTTAGAACCATTCCAATGATTTGCAGTTTCTGTTCATTAGAGGTTGCACATATTGAAATGAAATTCAATATACAGATTAATTTGTAATAAAAATAAGGCCAAGTTCTGTATTTGGTATGATTAAGCCATTTTTGACAGAGATATATATCCCTCAGACTTAGTAAAAATCAATTTATTGGGAGAGGAGGACATAAGTGCATGTTGTACGAACATCTCTTTCAAATCTCGACCTGGGAGGGGGGCGCAATTGGAGATTTTTTTTTTTACAAAGAAATATGTAGGAAAAAAGCTTTTAAAAATCTTCTTTTCTCAAGAAGTTATACTTGGTATACATGTATCCTCAAGTACTATTAAAACCAAGCCCACTCCCCCACTTCAACTAAACTTTTCAATGCTGAGCTGATGTGTTTTTACCTAACCCATGTCTCAGGTGAGTGATGTGGCCCATGGGCCTCTTGTTTTTGGTTGTCCCATGAATCCATGAAAACAGTACTTGTGATCATACACAATTTTTGGTGGGTTCATATTCTCTTAATTTTAACTTTTTGAAAATAAGGTTAATCTTAATTTACAAATACATGTAATAGATTATTTTCAAATTTCGGATCGAGTGCATTAGAAGTAGAAAAAACCCAAATTGTAAGAAACAATAGATCATGTACATGTACATATATGTAAGAAGTCATGCATGATTATTTACTTACCCTTACAGAAAAAACTAATAGAAACTTATAAGTGTTTTATAATCCACTTATTAGCAATTTATAAGTCACTTATAAATTTTGAAATTCACTTATAAGTGTACTATAAGTCAAAGTAAGTATAAGTGAGGAACGGATTTCGTTAATGCTTCACTTATAAGTAAAGATGAGCTACTTATCAGTGAATATTTCACTTATACCTCACTTATAAGTGAAGATTAGTATGGTTTGAGCAAGTATAAGTGTGGACTTAGAATTTTTACCCTATACTAGACTTCTCTCAAGGAGCACTATGGGTATTCAAGGTAGCCAATCAGAAAGTTTGTCTCTGCAGAGATCAGCAACAAGAATTTGAAACCAAGTTTGTGTCTGTGAAAGAATGTTGGAGATTTTTGATTTATTTTCAGTATGCCTTCACATCAGGTACAACAAGTAGGTTCTATTTACATCATCTCTCTATTTTAACTTCCTTTGCCTGAAATTTTGAATCAATTGACTCAGTTGCTTTCAGATTTCATAAATTTGAAGATGCCTCAAGGTCATTAAATCTTGTTGCCTTTTTGTTCAACATTCTTGTTTGTAAACTGAATTAATTGTTATGTTAAGTTTGCATCATCAAAGAAATGTCATATGAAAAGGACTTTTTTTCATAAAATTTTTACTTGATTATTTCATCTAAAGTGCAGATACATGTGTACATGTATATGTATACCAGAAGTCTCTGTCGAGACTGAAGCTCTACTGGTTTGTACTTATAGCAAAGGAAGAGAAAAGTACTTAAGCAATTGGGAATTGAAACTTTACAACAGCAATAAATAGAACAATGATCCTTGATAAAGTCTCTTTATGTTCTTAGTGTAGTCTACTTGTGTGCCAAGTTATATTGAAACCAGACCAAAACTGTAGGAGGAGTAGCATTTTGAAACAATTTTATAGAAATTTCTATTTTTAGTAACCACGACAACACCGTTCATGGAAATCAAAAACCGATAAACCTAATTATGTATCTTAGTGCAGTCTACTTGTGTGCCAAGTTATATTGAAATCAAACCAAAACTGTAGGAGAAGTAGTATTTTGAAAGAATTTCACAGAAATTTCTATTTTTAGTAACCATGACAACACCCACTACTGGCTTTTAAAACCCCTGTCCGTATGAAAATCCACTGTCTTTCTCTGTATCCTACAGCATTTTCACAGTAATCTACGGTATATCAACAGTATTCTACGGTATGCTAGCTCTGTATATACAGTAAATCTCTGTATGCCACTGTATGTATCCCCAGCATGCCACAGTTACATACAGTAGGCCCCGATACGCCTACAGTATGCCACTGTATTGCTACTGTTTGCTACAGACAACTACGGTAAACCCCAGTATATGCCCCAGTACGCCCCTGTATATGTTCATTGAAGCAAAAAGAAGTTTACACACTCCCAGAGCACTGTACGGTTACCTAAGATGTGGGATTATCAATTTAGTACACAGAGTTACTTACCTAAGAAATTTATGAACACTATTTTAAACATATAGTAGTATTTTTTTTAAATTTGTTAGGAAACTTATTGTGTTCTTTTATAACTCTGAAATAACTATGAAAAATTAAATCATTGCTTCAAAGAATATATCAATCAATTTTTAAAATTTATTATTTAATTATTCTTTGGTTTGATTAGTTAGTTTCTTAATTAATTTTTTTTTTTTGTGAACACTTATTTAATCCACAAAATGCTTGGAGTGACTTTGTAACTTTTATGAAAAAAAAGAAACAAAACACAGCCGGGGTAATTCTTGGTTTTCTTTTTTACTTTTTGATGTTCTTTCAAAAAAAATTAATCTAATTAATTGCATGTAATCAGTCATTGCATAAAAACTTTTTTTCTTTGTTCTAAATTGAATATACAAACAAAATTTTTAATTTTATACCCGAAAGTTGGGATTTTTTTGGCTAATTTTATGTAAACAATTTTACGCTAAAATGTGTTTCAAAGCCTTTTTTAAGCATATTTAAACTACTTTTAATTATTTTACTTCCGTGTTGGTAATCAAAATAATCGTCTTATTATGCACAATCTTAACCCGTCAATAGCTTTTTGAAACTTTTATTTTGTTTTGTTTTGTTTGACAGGTATAGTGATCAGTGAAAAAAACAATAGGTGTCATTACTGTGTACCCCATGTCACTGGTAAACAATCAATGGCTTTGAAGTTCTTTCATAATCGTGTTAGGGTTTTGAAAACCAATTTTTTTTCAATCAAATCAAAGTAAAAATATGAAATTGCAATTGACAAATTAAAATTGTTCATAATCTGACGATTATTTTGATATCCATCATGGACGTAAATTAACTGAAATTCGCTTCAACATGCTAAAAAAATACTTTGTAACATAGTTTAGGATAAAAATATTTAAACAAAAAAAAAAAAACCTTATAAATCTAACTTTTGGGGATATCAATACATAATTGATTATTTTGTTGTATGACATTTTTATGGTGATAAATTAATTATTTATTTTATTTATTTACCATTTATTTATTTTTCTAACACCTGTTTAATCAATAAAATAATTGGAAAGGCTTTTTTTGTACCTGTTGAAAAAAAAAATTACATACACACACCTACACAACAAAAGTAATGCTGCATTTAAAAAAAAAGTTTTTAAAATGAATTCAATAATTGATTTTAAATGGTTAGTGAATAAATAAATAAAACTGATTTAAAGCACGTATTTAATCATTGTAAAAAGAACAATATATTTATCTTTTTATTTTTAAAATTGACGATACAAACAAATTAATTAATTATAATCCCGAAATTTGGATTTATTTGGCTTATTTAATGTACACAAGTTTTCGCTAAAATGTCTCTCAAAGTCTTTTTGAAGCATATTTATACTACTTTTAATTATTTTACTTCCGTGTTGGATATCAAAATAATCGTCTCATTATGCACAATCTTAACCCGTCAATACCTTTGTGGATACTTCTTATTTTGTTTTGATTGAAAAAAATCGGTTCTCCCACAAAGAGAAACTGTTATTTCAAGCAGCTGCA